CATTAAATTTTAATATCCATAATTGTGACCATAGCTATTGTGGTATAGCTAGTTCCTCCTTGATAGTGGCTAACACTTACAGTTATCTCTAAATGAGGGTACAGCTCTAAAACTCTGTTTAATGGTTCTGAGGCCAACTGGTAGTAAGATTTCCCAAATTCTGTGGTAGCTCTCAGAGAGGCTAATTCCATCAACAGCTGCAAATTATTGTACTATATTAGCAGTATTAAAAGTGCCATGTTGCACATGGATGGTATCCCTGTTTATGCTTTTGGTGCGCATTGTCAAGGCCGCATAAGGAGCCCTATGTTACAACTTAGGGTTAACACGACAGAGACATCAGCATAGCTCATTGCTTAGGAGGACCTATATATATACTATTCTTTGGTTTGCAAAGACAATAGTTGCATACTTGGCTTGGAGTATACATACACATTTGAGAGTATACATATATACTTCATCACTTTAACACCTTTCTCTTTGTTCTTTATCATTCTCCTTCTTCCCAAGACTGCACTCTCTCCCAATATTGGTGTTATTGTGACTTTAATGCTCATCACAATGAATTATTCTCAATTCACTGAATCTCATACCTTATCTCTAAAGTTAGGCTCTAGAGATATTTGGAAAATCTTCAACTACGTCATTAACAAGGGTAAATCTAAAATTCCACATATCATTCATACCTTATCTCTAAAGTTAGGCTCTAGAGATATTTGGAAAATCTTCAACTACGTCATTAACAAGGGTAAATCTAAGATTCCATATATCATTCATGGGACTGATCTTATAACCTCTCTCAAAGATAAGGCAAAACTATTTACAAAAAACTTCTCTTCTAATTCGACTCTTGAATCTTATAGCCATACTCTTCCTTCCATTCCAGTTAAACAGGTTAACCCATTTATGGACATTTCACTGTGTCATGAAATGACTTTTAATCGAACCTCTTTTCAAGTATGTATAGTATAGTACAAGTATGTAGAAGTACATTAGAGTTGGTTTTGAAGTTTCTGTGAAAGTTCCATTTTCTACTAAAAACTTGTTCTAACATATCTATTCTGTAAATAAGCAGCGTACTTACAACTTAGAAACAATAACAAACAAAAAATTTCTTTAAAAAATTTAAAAAAATCAGAACTTAAAAAAAAAACTCTAAATATACATAAGTCATCGAGGTCATATTTTAAAAATCCGGAAAATTATTTGGGTAAAATATCCGTAAAAAATCAGGAATATATTTTCCCTTATATTCCTCCTAATTTTGCTTTTAGTTGTGTTGTTTCCAACGCTTTTTTAAAAAAACAAATATATCACAAAAATTTATACTTAAACTTGTATGTATGAAAAACATTTTACATATCCGGAAAAACTAAAAATTGAGAAAAGTAACCGGAATTCCAGAAATATCCAGAAAAAGATAATCCCTGAATGCAGTTCTTAAAAAATAACCTTGAAGTAATTTCTTACATATCATATGGTATAATACAGTATTCTCTACAAATAAGTTAAAAGAAATGCTAGCTGTCGTAATCAATCAAATAGTTTAGAAGACTCTTATGGTAGTCTAGATGATTACTGTAGCTTTTGAACCATTGCCAGTGATGGTTGAAGCCAAGATGGAGTGATTCTGTTGCTTGCTCTGAATAGATGCCCAGTGAGCGGCAATCATTAATTTAAAGAACATTTAAAAAAGAAGCATGAACAACTGCCTCAAACTTTGTGAATGTGTCAATGATTGAAAATGCTAAATAACAAGCATGTTTTTCTGCAAGTTGTTGCCTGCAAATTGAAAAAATAATAAGGTTGCACTCATTGCTTGCAAAAAAAAATAAACAGGTCATTGCAGACTCAGACTCATCAAGAGATGGTTAACAACATCAAGGAACAAGTGAAGTTCCATGGGTGGATTTAAATTCATGATGAGTATTCCTTCAGGTAACTTAATAACTGACTCATGCACAACATTTTAAAAGTCCCTGGTTTATTTTTTTAGGCACCTGCAGCTTGGAAGCCTGTGTTAATCATTTTGAATGGAGCCAAATGTTAAGAGCTCACCACTATAAAAATTATTTGACTCAAGTCACACCAGGTACAAGGGTGAGCAAATTCCCACCTTGATAAGTTCATTTGACTGAGGACCTCTGATCTGAACTAAAGTGTTTCCTAGAGCTTCAACATCTTTGCAGTACACCAATAGACGTTTAAATTCTTGGCTAAGACTTTTGAATGTTTCTGAAATTTCTGAGGTGACAAATAAGTCAGAAAGATTTCCAAGAGACTCAAATTTTTCCCTGAAGTTTTTTTTTAACTACTTTGTTAAGTGTTGAAGCAAGCTTGGTCATCCCTTTGTTTGAAAGCCAAGTCTTTGAATTTGTACAAGTTGTTGAAGAGTCAAGGTGGATGTAGCTGTTGGAGAAAGTTCACTTTGTCTTGATGGCCCAGGAAAACAAGTTCTAACATAACACAGCTTCTCATATTGTAGAGTTTTCTTGTTCTAATAAAAGTGTCAGTTAAATAAAAGCATATTAAGCATATGACAAAAATAAATTATTTTTCATCAGGAGTACCTGGAAGATACCTTCCTATTTCTTGACTAAGACGCACAGTGTCATGAGGTGAAGGAACCTTGTTAGCTGTCACAGAAGCAGCTTCTCTTTCTGCTGTTTTTGCTGCAACTTCAAGCAAGTTCTGAAGTATTACTTTTGTACAATTATGTTGAATTCCTCTTCCAATCAGTGAAAAACATATTGAATAAAATTTCTCAACAACTGGCTGTTCCTTCGGCTGACTGATTGTATTTGTTGTTCCAATTGGTCGAGGACCTCCACACTTGGTTTTTTCCACATAACAAATCATGCAACCACATGTTGATTCTCTTGTTGTAGGACGAATCTTTATGTTTTGGTAATCAGAAAGGGAAGTTAAACATCATCACTATTGACTCTTTTTCTAAGACCTACACGACAGTTTTTGCAGATAACAATTGAGACTCATTAATTTTCAAAATTGATAGCTTGACCAAAAATCTCTTGACAGCATTTAACCATAAGGTCAGTCAGTTGATGTTGAGCTTTTTTCAAACAGAGGAAACTGAGGTTTTTTTATTGTCATCATGGGTTTTTGCTTGATTTGTTATTTTAAACAGTTTTGTACTTGTACTTTGCTCAAAAGGCACAATGAAACTGTTTGCAGGTCTAAGAACTTGAACAAGTTGCTTATCTTTGTTAACAACTTATATGAATATACAAATTATACAATTTTTATGTAAAAAATGTTTTATTTCATTTGATTAATATTCTTGTCAGTAGGCCAAAAAATCAAAATTTTCAAATCATTTTTCTTTCACAGATAATGAAAGATTTTAAAACCAACTCTTATGAACCCTTACATACTTGTACTATCATACCCCTAAAGGTTTTTCTCAAATAAAGAGATTCAAATTAAAATTCATTTTGTCACACAATGATTCAAATCACTCCAGCTTCCATTGCTAAAGTAATATCTCAATAACCCTCTTCTACGGCTTATGATCCGGACAACATTCCTATTATAGTCTTAGAAAATTGTTCCCTAAATTCTCTTTAATTTTCTCTAAACCTTTTAATAAGTCCTTGATTGAGTCTTGTTTTCCTGCCTACTGAAAATTGGCATCTGTTGTTTAAATTTTTACAAACTTTTACAAACGTTCTGTTATTAGCAAGGTCTTTGAGTCTTTGTTCAAGTAATTTCTTACATCCCATCTTGAGTCAAATAACTTATCGTGAGACTTATTGAAGTTAATGTAATCTAATGTTAATTTGATATTATTAATTCTGTATGATTAATTTGATATTATTAACTCTGTAATTAGCCACCTATTAGAATTATTAGCTATTAGATTTAATTATGTGTGGCATACTTAAACTGCAAGACTGTAGTCTTCTGCATTTGAGGATATGACAATATATTATTGTACTTTAACAAGGTGACATTGATATTTGACATTTCATTAGTTTATTAACAACGTTTTTTTATAAACTTCCATAAAATTATTAATCATAAATTTCTTCTTGATTGAGACATCTTGGAATATAAGATCAAAGATTGCAGAAGTATTAATTGCAGTCTGTGTTTGAGACACGATTTAAACTGACGTAAATTGTAGTCTTTAGCTTTTTGTAGCCATTACATGGATTTTTTTATTTAAGATTTCTTTCCATTGGCAAGAATTGTTAAGCAAAGTGGTAAACATACAAGTTAAAATGCCCATCCATAATCAAACTTTGAACACTCAACATTTCATGAAAGCAGAGATTATCTACAAGAAATATGCCATACTAAATACCTGCTTCTCAGAGTTTTATTTTAAATTCCTGAATATAGCCAGTTATTCCAGAATATAGCCAAAAGTTCACTGTTTAATGAACTATAACTAAATTTGTAAAAATTTGCACAGCAAATATAAACATTTTGAAACAATGAATTGGAAGGGACAACTGCTATATATGATGTTTAAATTAGACAATGCCTACTAAAAACCTATAGTGAAACAATAAAACCTTTGTCAACAAAAATCATTTGTTCTTCTGAGTAGGTTGCTAGAGAGCACTGAATCTTCATGGTGTTTTTTCATGGTGTTTTTGATATTTTGACATTTAAAGAGTAATAAAAGTGTGTTAAATTTAAACTTCAAGTACCTTATTAGAAATTTGGTTCAAGTAAATTGTACAATGCGAGTCAACTCAAGATATGCTTATGTTCTTTTGTTTTTCTGAAAGCTTTATTTTGAAAAAGAACTTTAACAATTTGGCATTTGACCTACTTTGGTAAATTGATGAACAATTTTATAAACATTTTATTTGGCAACTTTTGGTTTTCATATGAAATCACCCATTCTCAATCAAAATTTTATACAGTGCTATTTATTCTAGGCATTTGAATTTGGTGGATATAAAATCAGATACAAAAAGGAAAGTACTTGCTGTAATTATACCTGAAATTATACCTTTTAAAATGTGATTTCACAATCAAATACATTAAATAAAATTTATTAAAAAATATTGTTTAAAATTAACGAGACACTGTCAAAATACAATGACACATTGTCAAAATACAATGGCACATTGTATTTTGATAACGTCATATTTTGTCAAATCACACGCCATATTTTGTTAAATCGGGCCAGGAATCCTGGTTTAAAAACTATAAATTTAATTTAAATAATTTTAAAGTAACTTTTAACATGTTTTACAAATGGTTTTAAAGTAAATATTATAACATTAACTCTCATGCTAATGGTTCTCATGTTAATAATAAAAAAAAAAATTTAAGAAATAAAAATACTCACAGTGTACTTTTAAAAGCAAAAATGAAGACTTTTTTCCTACAAGGTTATAAATAGTGCAAACAAATAGCCCTCCCTGCTGGCGTTGAATCTTGCTTAAGTATAACCTACTTTCATTAAATAAAAGTTCCCCATCTTTATACCATTGAACATATGGATAAGGGTATCCAGACACTAGACATTCCAATAATACATCATCTCCTTCAAAAATCTCAAAATCTGTAGATATTTTAATTGATGGTTGATCCAGATCTAATATAAAAAAAAAACTCTAAAGATTTCTTCACATATGAATTTGTAACACAACTTCACATCCAACTAAAAACAACCATAGGTAAAAAGGTGGAGAACAAACAGTGGTTAAAAAAAATAATACAATGACAAATAATAATTGATTAAAAAAGGGATCTATGTTTTTTTTTTGTTCTTTTAATTTTATTTCACTGCCAATAATGCTTCAAGCAACCACTATTAAGTTGGAACTTACTAGAAAAACAATAAAGAAAATAAAGAATAAAGAAATTGAAGAACAAACAAGACTTCAAAAAACCGCTACTAAGTTGGAAGTTACTAGAAAACAAACAAGAGTTAAAGAGCAAGGAAATGGTTGACAGAAAAGTTGTAAGTTATATGAGTCAGTTATTTTTATATTTAATTTTTATTGTATTATTATGAAACAGGAAAGCATGAAAATGGGAGAGAGTTGCAAAGGGACAATGGGAGAAAGTTGCAAAGGGTTGATGTGTGCGAAAAAAAATTGTTCAAATAAATGCTTTTAGAAAATGCAGGGACAAATACTGTAAAAGAATCTAAATCTTTGCTTAATGACAAGTCAAATAAGAATGAGTTTTGGTTAATGGAACTAGGTATGAAAGCTCCTTTGAGCAATGACCATGATAATATTTGAAGAAAAGAGAAAGAGATGAGCCTCTACGATGATGGGAGAGAAGCTCAAGCTTGACAGATCTTTTCAGCAGTTCAGCCATATAATAAGAATATCAACCGTATTTATTGTCTGACTGTATTTATCGTCTGACATTTTTCACTTACAGAAATCTTGACTTACTTTTGCTTTATGTATGGCTAACATGTGGTCATGTGACCAACATGTGGTAGAAGCTGGATTTAAATATAAAATTTAAAACAAAAAAAAACTTTTATAATGAAATTTATTAATGAAATTTAAAAATAAATAACTATGTGTAAATATGATAAATATATTGTAAATAATCTTAAACATACAAGAAACTTTGACAACTTCCTGTAGAGAAGCTTTTTGCATCAATTGATTTTGAACTAAACATTCATATATTCCAGTTTCATTGCGTGAAACATTCTTCAGATGAAGAACATGACTTTTGGCACTCAGCGTTATTCCATTCTGAAACCATGTGTAAATAATTGGCATACTTCCATTTGTCTCACAGACAAGTTCTATATTGTCTCCTTCACAGTAATCTGTTTTGTAGCGTAAAAATAAATTGGGATAGTGAAGGTCTAGTAAAAAAAGATTTTTTTTTTTAAACAATAGAAAAAGACTAAAAAATTTAAACAACAATAAAATAATTAAAAAATAATATTGAATAAGGTTGTATTATAAATTAAAATAACATCTAACACTTAATAAATGCAATTAGTAATAAGTAACAGTAATAAAAGTAAATATACACGTCGAATGTTACCATAACAATAATAATATGCTATTCATTATATTTTTGCTGTAAAATGCATCTAGTTTTTTGAATCATTTCTTTTTTAAGTGCATTAAGTATGTTTTTAAATTCTTTTTTTAGACAATATTCAATTTGTATCAATTAAGTCAGTTATGTAGTTGGTTTTTTGCTTCACTTTTTTTTGCCCTTATAATTATCTTATAACACTCATATAAGACTGCAGGATAAATATATATGTAATTATAAATGGGCAATTCCACAACATGTAAATATATGTAAGTTATGTAAATATATATGAGCTATTCCACAACAGAAAATGAAAAAATGTTTGAATTTTATTCTATTTTTTGTCAACTTTTAGCTAATAAATTGATATAGACACATGAAAGTTTATTTAAAGTATACCTTTAATACTAAAATTAATTAATTTAAGTCATTTTTATACTTTTAAAAGTTACGGTTTTACTCAATGTTGCATCATAAAAAAAGTATCATTGTAAAATGTTATTTTAATGATGAATTTATTGGCATAACCGAAATTAATTTAGTGTGAAAACCAAGCTAACATGTTCAATTATATGTTGTGCCACCTTATATTTGTTAATTTTTAAACCCTTCCCTCCCATCAGAAATGATCACATATATCTATATACAGATAGCAGTTTTTATGTCAAAAATATTTAAAAAGATTTAAATGTAAATACTATGCAGCATTTTAAAAATTCAACCTAATAAAAACACGCAATAAACGATATTTTATAATAATCTTTTTGATAAATCAATCAAAAAAATCACACGATGAAAAATTTTGAATTGAAAATTTATAAAAAAGAATGAAAAGTTTCTTGAAATATTAAAAAAACCTTAAGCAAAAAAAATTATAACATCTAAAGCTCTTGCCTGGTCATGATATGCTGATAAAATCATGCTAATTTCAAATAAAAGAATTTGAATAATTTGTAAATTTCCTTATATTTAAAAACTTATGTTTATTGTCATACATTTTATTAACACTTATGTATATTTTTTGCTTTATTAATATATACTATTTATATTTACTATTAACATTATTTAATTTATTTTAATTTATTTAAAAATTCACATTTAATAATATTTTATTTTATAAATTTTCAATTCAAAATTTTTCATCGTGTGATTTTTTTGATTGATTTTTTTGACTGGTTTTCTATAACATTTATGAAAGTTATCAAATTGAAAACAGTTTTTTCAGCAAGACCAAGAGCAATTTTTAAAAACTACTTTAGTATGGCAACTTTATTATTATTTATTAAGTCATTTAAATAAGAAAATATTTTAGTTTGTTGAAAATTTTATTTACACTTCTTATGTTTATTCGTTAATTCAATGTTAAGAAATAATGTTAAGGTGATTTACAAGTTATTACATGATTGTAATTTATATTTAAGAAAAAAATGTAATACTTTTTTTTTTCAGTAAAAATTGTTTATATGAATGCTTACTTAAAATAAATTTTACCTTGATGGTTTCCATCAAACACTGAATTAAGATACGCTGATAGAACAATAATAAATGATGATGGACATAAAAGTGTTGTGCGCAATCTTTGTTAATGTATTTTAAATTAAATTTTTTGGCTAAAACCATAACATTAATTGTGCTCAAGTACTTTGAATTATGGCTAAAAAATTAATATCTCAACAAGTTAAAAAGTTAAAAAAAAATATTTGTAAAAAAAAACCAACATTAAACATTTTGTTAGGTTAAAAAACTTTTCATCTGCTTGTAATTATTTTAGAAACATAGTACGCCACATAATAATATTATATAATAAATACCAAATAAATTGTTTTAAAAATAGATTGTATTTACTAATATTTTATTTTGTATTTTTTTTTACACATTATTACGCTGTTTTTCCAGAATCTCTGTAAGCTAAAAGAGCTTAATTTTTGTTGATCAAAAATTATTTGTTGATAAAACACTTTTGAGCTGATTTCTTGAATTAAGATTTTGTAATTTTTTTTAAAAATTTTTTTAAAAATTTGAATAGTAAAAATATAATGTAAGTCCAAAAAACTGTTATTATTTAATCTTTGTAATTGTGATAACTTCAAAATAGTTTTAACTATGACAACCCACTGCTTTAATAGAGCACTTAAGTTGAGGCTGTAAAACAGAGTACTGAAATAATTTATTTGCAAAGCAATTATTAAGTCAAAAATAAAAGGCAAGAAAAAAAAAAAAAAAACTGCTTACGTTATAGTGAATCAGTGAGGGGAAACTTAAAATGTTGTAATAATACTTTACAGATTTTTACAGAGCAATAAAATGAAAAGACACTACGCATAAACATAAGAAGTGTAAGTTATATTTTTGACAAACTGAAAGATTTTTTTATTTAAATGACTTAATAAGTATTAAAAAAGCTGTCATACTAAAGTAATTTTTTTAAAAACTGTTTTTGGATTTGACAAAATTAATAAATGTTATGAAAAATCAGTCAGGAAGAGTGCCACCAATTTTTTAAATTATCTTTGTTAATTACTTTTGATGAATGAGTTCAATACTTTTTCAATTCTTTTGTTACATAACTCTAAAAAATCTAACTATTTATAGTAGATATAAAAATTTCATAATACTTGGTAAAGTAAGTGATGTAAGTGATGATATATATATATATATATATATATATATATATATATATATATATATATATATATATATATATATATATATATATATATATATATATGTATATATAGATATGTATATATTTATATATATATACATATATATATATATATATATATATATATATATATATATATATATATATATATATATATATATGTATATATAGATATGTATATATTTATATATATATACATATATATATATATATATATATATATATATATATATATATATATATATATATATATATATATATATATATACATATATATATATATATATACATATATATATATATATATATATATATATATATATATATATATATATATATATATATATATATATATATACATATATATATATATATACATACATATATATATATATATATATATATATATATATATATATATATATATATGTATGTATAAAAGATTAATTATATATTTTAATAATAACTTTAAAGACATCAACAAGAAATTTAGTTTAGCATTGTAGTCATCTTTAAATTCTTACTATTAATAAAATAAAAATGAATAAAACTTACAATAGAAATAAATAACTTCTTCTTTTCTCTTTGTTTGAACACCATTACTTACTTGACAAACAACTTTCTCAGATGCAATCATTTTTTCATTACTTCGATTAATAAAAGAACCTTCTACTACAAGATCATCCAATAACCAACTTATAGAAGCAGGGGGATAAGATAACACAGAACATTTTAAAAAGATGAAATGTTGATTACCTGTAACTATTTCATCTTCTGAAATAGAAGGTTCTTCCAAAACTAAAAAAAGGTTTTTGAACATGGTACTAATAACACATTGTTACTTAAACAGTTAATCTGTAACAGCATTTATAAATCATTGACATACATTTTTTTTCATAAACAATATCTGCATAAATTCTAAGACCCTCATGTAATGAATTTTTTTTTGTGGTTGCTTGTAGCCTTTTTGGAATCTTCGCTTCCAACAAGCCTGCAAGCAAGCACTATTAAAGTTGGAAGTTACTGGAAGAGAAAAGATGAAGTTTGTAGAGCAAAATAACAATTCACAGACAACTTAAAAGATTGCAAATTATATGAATCAGGAAAGCAAGATGAATGAAGTGAATTCCAAAGAAATAATTTTTGAGGACTAAAACTAGACGAATAAGAGTTTTTGGAGCATTTAGGAACAGTCACAGAAAAAGAATGAGATTTAATTGAATGACAAGTAACACAAGAATGAACTTTAATAGATGGCACAAGAGATGCTAGTTCTATAGAGCAGTGCCATTATAGTACTTATAGAAAAGAGAAAAAGAAGCAACATTATGACGATGTGATAATGGTTGAAGGTTGGCTGCAAGATCAGGTCTAACTATGTTTACAATGCGTTTTTGCACCTTTTCTAAAATAGAAAAGGCACGGTTGGAAGATCCGACCCAGATATGGTAACAGTATTCCATACAAGGACGGATTTGAGATTTATAGAGATAAAGAACAGTCAAAATCCACTTGATCAATAGAGAAAATAAAATCTACTAGCTCTTGATCAATGGAGAAAAGTTTCAAAAACCAGTAATTATAAAGGGAAATCAATTTTTTTATATAAACTAGGTGTCTATGCTTTCCTTGTAACGCAATTTTTATATTGTTTTTGTTAGTAAAAAGAGTTAAAAAGTAAAATATAATAAAATAAGAGATTGTTTATAAAGATTATTGTTTTACTAAATATCTGAGTTTTGATAAAAATAAACGTAAATAATTTATTTAACTTTAAAAGTTTGGAATTTCATCATGAAAGTTTGAAAAAAAAGTTTTTAACAAATTTTTTTTTCTAACTTTCACAATTTTTTTTATACAGTTAAATTAAATTAATTATATTAATGCTGAAATGATTTAATTGAGATGGGATATCTCAACTCTGAATATCCTAAACTTGCTTGTGATCTTTCAAAGCGGCAGGCTGAATAAGTGCAAACTGGCATAAGTGAAGCAGTAACAAAAAACAGGCATAAGTACGAACTGCCATATGTAAAAATTGGCATATGTGCGCCAAAAAATTTTGCAAAAATTGGCATAAGCATAAATATGCATAAGTGCGCTGAACAAATTTGAAAATATTGGCATAAGCATAAATATGCATAAGTGCGCTGAACAAATTTGAAAATATTGGCATAGGTGCGAACTGGCATAAGTGTGAAAAAGTTACAAAAACTGGCACAAGTGCGAATTTGCATAAGTGGGCCGAATAAATTTAAAAACATTGGCATAAGTGCAAATTGGCATAAGTGCGAAGCAGTTACAAAAACTGGGATAAGTGCGCAGAATAAAATTGCAAATATTGGCATAAGTGCAAATTGTTATTTCGCACTTATGCCAGTGTTTGCAAATTTATTCAGCACACTTATGCCAGTTTGCATTTGCCGATTCACACTTATGCAAGTTTTTGCAACTGCTTTGCACTTATGCCAGATCGCACTTATGCCAATTCGCACTTATGCCAGTTTGGACTTATGCCAGACTTTTTTTTTACTTCAAACTTTCACAAGATCAAGAAAAAAAAGTTAGAGTAGTTAGATGATGAGCAGATCAAGGAAAGAGCAGTTGCAAGGAAAAGTGAAAAAAAAAGAAAAACTTAAATATTCCAAATGCAGATAATATTGCATTCAATTTAATGGAAAGATTTAACAAGAGCAATCATAAATGATTCAACCCAACAGTCTATTATTATCAAAGAACTACAACTATGTTGACAATAGAACCTAATGGTTGGGTATTTGGCTATTTCACTATGAATGTACCTATTATCAATGTACCCAGATAAATAATCCAACAATATAATTTTAGGAATAAATGTTCAATGCTTAAAGCAGAGCAATTAACACAGGACGCAAAGATGGTGCTACAGTTCATCTCGAAAAGCTGTTAGATCACAAAAGTCACAGTGCCATATGCATACTTTAATCAAATATATATTTATATATACAATATATATATATATACATATATATATATATATATATATATATATATATATATATATATATATATATATATATATATATATATATATATATATATATATATATATATATATATATATATATATATATATATTCACTCACTGCACCTATATACTCAGTCTTGCAGGGGCAAGTTGGAGATGGCTTCTCTTTGCCTTTGCCTAAAAAAGCATATCCTACAAGTCAGCAGGGCATGAAGCAGGTTGTACTGGGTTACATGTTACATGTATATAGGTGCAGTGAGTGAATATATATATATATATATATATATATAATATATATATATATATATATATATATATATATATATACATATATATATATATAAATATATATATATATATATATATATATATATACATACATACATATATATATATATATATATATATATATATATATATATATATATATATATATATATATATTCACTCACTGCACCTATATACTCAGTCTTGCAGAAAATGCCATTGTTGATGTCCTATATCTCAGTACATGACTTAGGGTTGGTTTTTGGACAACTATTATTTAGATAAAGAACTTTTATTTAAAATATATATATATATATATATATATATATATATATATATATATATATATATATATATATATATATATATATTTCTTATTAATTTTTTGCCTTCAAGTCAGCATTTTTAAACTTCAAGTATGTAATAAATAAAATGATGTTAAGAGACCAAATAAAACAGTAAGAGATAAAAAAAATATCAGTGATTTACTATAAAAAGTACCACAAGTAACCTTGTGGTACTTTTTATAGTAAATTACTGAAAACAAAGGAAATATTCAGTAAACTGTATATTCAGTAAACTGCATATTCAGTAAACTGTATATTTTACTATACTTTATAATAGTAAATATATAGTATCACTATCAGCAAAACAAAGAAATAAAAAAAAAAAAATCCTAATATAAATAATATTTATAATAATAAGACTAATTCAAATTATTAAACATTAGTTTAGTTAGACTAAAGTTAAACACTTTTTGTATATTTAATAAACCTATAAATAAATATAAATACATTTGAATCTTGACATGTGATGGAAGTTTGTTATAAACATTAATATGCATTTCACTCTGAATAGACTAACCTAAAACTTAATGCTTTGTCTAAAAATTGTTTTGACATTTAATAGATTTCAATAGACCAAACTTTGCTTTATCGCCAGCATAAATAATATCACACATAGCAACCTCGCATCTATCTCCTAATGCAAAACCATTGACAGAAGCTATTATTGTTTTAGCGCATTGAGTTATACAGTTCCAATGACTGAGAAAAGAACCACCAAGGACATCTGCATATTCTTTATTTTGCATCTCCATAATATCTGCACCAGAAGCAAATGCTTTATCACTACCAGTTAAAACTACCAGTTAATTTCCAATAACTCGAACCTCCAAGGGACCAAGTAAAATGGTCGAATAAATAATAATGTCAAACTTTGACAGAAATGAGATATTAGTTTGAGTTAAGTAATAAAAAGTTCAGTGAAAAAGGCTGCGTATATCCGCTTGTATTAGCTTCTCTGATAATTCTTTTTCCACAATTAAGTTTATTTGGTTTATACATTTAAGAATATACTCCCCATTTTCACTGAATATCATGTAGCTTTGTAGTACTTCCAGGGCTTGACGTACATCACCTGATTGAGAGCAAGTTAGTTTGATCAAAAAACCTACATCACTATCTTTATCTTTTTCAACCTCAAAATTTTCTTCTTCTAAAATGTCTGATATAATCTCCTCATCATTCATTATTGGCTCAGCAGTGTTGACAAAATCATCCATGGAAACAACATCTTTTGCTATTGTTTCTTCAGGGAAGAACTCTGATGAATGAACAGCAAGCTTTTCTAATTGGTCTTTGAGATCCTCAAAGGGATCATCCTCACTTACCGAGTCGTCAAAACACATTTTCTCTAAAACTCCAGCTTTAGCAAAACAATTTCAAATAGTTTCGGTCTTTACCTTCCCCAAGCAACATCAAGCAATTGCATGGCATACATTATAGTAAATTCCGGAAGATGCTTTTTTTTTTCTATTGCATCTATTAATTTTTTAACAGATAGTGTTCTATAAAGGGCTTTAAGTGGCCTAATCACACCCTTGTCCATCGGCTGTAGCTTCAAGGTAGTGTTTGGTGGTAAAAAAATTAGTTTTTTTGACTCAAGATTATCAATGATTGGATGAGCTAAACAATTATCAACGAATAAAACAATTTTTAGTCCTTCCTTTGTGAATTGCTGACCAATTTCACAAACCCATTCCTTGAATAGTGTGCCATCCATCAAACTTTTCTTCTGACTGCGATAACGGCAGGGTAAATGTTTTTCATTTTTAAAGCATCTGGGCAATTTAGCTTTGCCAATAAAAATCATTGGCAATTTTTTCCCTAATGCATTAGCAGATGCCAATCCTGTAAGACGTAGTTTGCTGTGTTTCCCACCGAATCATTTTTCATTTTTAAAATGTAAAGATTTATTTGGTTGGAGCCGATATAACAAGCCAAATTTGTCAGCATTATAAATCTGGTTCAACTTATATTTTGATAAAATGGTTGGTAATGTGGTTTCCTCCCATGGTCCTACCATTTCACTTGTACACTGTACAGCTTCACCAGAAACCATTTTAAATGATATATTGTATCGCTTCTTCCAACGGTCTAACCAACCATCTGAAACATGAAAATTTGTAATGTTCATTCTTTCAGCAAATTCCATGGCTTTAGTTTTGAGAATTAAAGCAGATATAGTGACATCTCTGCTAAGAACAACCAGAAGCCATTTAAAATGGCTTGATCCAAATTTGCAAATGACCCTTTCCTCATACGCTGACATTTTGGGTTGTTTCTTTTCTCCACAGCATCAAAAATCTTTTGTTTCTCAACCAGGTAGATAAGATGTTCTTTGGTATATTATATTTTAAGTTGTATTTGACTTTAATAGTTTTTGTATTCAACTTTTGCTTAGTTGCAATTGTCGCCATGTTACAAACTTTGAGTTTAAAAAGAAAATATTCATGCTGTACACTTAAAAGATAATATTCAAAAAAGTTTAGCAAAAAAATGCAATACAATGTCTTCCTTAAAGTATTTTATGTTTTATATGGAATGATTTCTTAAAAAAAAATTTTGATCAAGTTATTTTGATTTCATTATTTCCCATACAAAAAGTTTGAGTTATCCGAAGAAATTTGTCGAAGGGGGACAATAAAATGGTTCGACTTAACAAAGTTCGAGTTATCCGATGTTCGACTTAAACAAATAGTTTTAATAGTATCAGTTAATAACCTATCAGTTAATAATCAGCTAATAATCAGTTAGACAAAATGCAAGGAATTTGTTTGAAAAAATTGTTTGATTTGAACAATATCTTTGACAAGTTTAGCTGCTAAATTAATATTATTGCAAATTATCAGATTTTTTGTAAGTTCTGGTTACGCTTTTATTGAAAAGTTTATTGTTAATGGAATATAATGTGATTTATCTGCAAAAATAAATATTTTTCAGAAAAAATATTTTCCTAATGTAACTGTTAATTTGTTTTCACTTTTGCTTTGCAAAGTTTTTGTGTTAGTAAAAATAAAAATTCATTTAGCAACTTTAAAACAGGTTTTAATTATATTGGTTTAACAGAAAACATATTTAAAAGATCGCTAGTATAACAAAAGATCGCTAGTATAAACATAAAAATTCTTCTCAGCAGGAAAGAAAAGCATATTCCATAGAAGTTTCTAAATAGATTTGAGATAATAAATAAGTTTTCATGTAATATAAAATGTAAATACATGGTTGGCCTGAGTATTTACATTTGTAAGAATTCACTAATTTGGGCTCAGTTTCTCTACATTTACCTTTAGGTGCTTCTGATCAGGATATATATATATATATATATATATATATATATATATATATATATATATATATATATATATATATATATATATATATATATATTTTAAAAAATCCAGCTACTAAAAGTTACATATTAGTAACATAGCTAATGTTACTACTGTTTGCACTCAATATGAATAATATAAGCATAAATGCATTTCAAATTTTTGTTAGATAATTTAAATAAAAAAACCTACATGATACTGAGATATTTATGATATTAGAAATCCGAGATCCTACGGAGTTAAAAACTTCGCAAGAGTACAATCCACTATCATTATGGTGAACGTTATGTAATGTAGCAATGCTACTATATTGCTTTATATCAGTATTGTTTTTCTTCCATTTATATGTTAAGGGAGCAGTACCATTTGAAAAGCAATACAATGTTATTGAATCTCCTTCTTTACTCATGTTGCTAGAAGTCGTGTAAATAGAAACAGGACCAAGGTCTAAAATAAAACAATAATTTTACTAGTAGTAAAAATCATCTCAAAATAGTGATTTTTAGATGATTTATAGATGATTTGGCCATAAGTAATGGCCAAACCATCAATTATGTCATTTTATAATAAGGATTAGTAAGTATTAATGTATATACATTTTCTCATAAGTTATATTGATTAGTATTGAAATCAATATTTATTGAGGTAAAACTCCACAGGTAAAACTGAAAGTAGTTAATACTTAATACTAGTATGAAAGAAACCAAAGTAACAAAAAAATTTTTTTTTTTCTATTTCTATTTTATTCTTATTTCTATTTTATTCTTATTTATTTTTATTTTTTTAAAAAGTTGCATTTATGATTGGAATTTAATAAATTGGAATAGTTTAGGTTTAAATTTATACCAACAAAAAATAAAAAATAAAAAACATTTACAAAACATAGTCAACCTGGATCTCAAAAAAATTTGTAAAAAAAGAAACTGTGCTGATTTAAAAAATGCTAAGTACAGTTATCCCACAATCATGGATTATCCACAGTCTCAATTTTTTTAATTATACACCAGTCTTACTTTTTTTTACAAATTTTGCTTATTAAATTAATTTTAATCCACTCAAAATGTTTTGATTATTAATCAAAGAATCAAATTGCACAACTATAATGCTGTAACAGTTATTGTTACAGCTCATTGCTATTGTTTTGATAAAAAAGTTTAATTTTTAATTTCATGATTTTTTGCCTGAACCATTTGTTATAAATGGTAACAAAAAAGCAGAAATCAAAGCTAATAGGTATGTTTAACTAGTTTTTCAACTATCTGCATAGAAAACCAAATATAATGACTTAATTTTACAAATAAACTTTTTTATGTTTTTTTTTGTTTTTTTATTTCTCATGAGAAGTAAACTTAAAATAAAACATGAAAAAATTTTCATGTTGTTTTTTGGTTCTAGCAAGCTAAAAAAGCCAACTGTTTTTTTTTCTTTTTCTTCGAGGAACTGTCTAAAGCAATTGTAATTGCAAAGCGGACTAAAAAAATCAGAGAAACCACTGCACTGTTTTTGGCATCATTAAGACTAATAAACTTGGTTCTAAAACTGTTTTGATCACGGAAGAAGAACAGAAAACTAAAGACACAATAATTAACATAGTAAAAATTGGATTTCCTGTCACGAAGACAAGATTGGCTATGACTGTTTCTGATTATGTAGCTAAAATCTGATTCTGATTATGTAGCTAAAATTTCTGATTATGTAGCTAAAATCAAAAGCACATTCCTGAAACATTTCCCTCAAAAAACTGGACTATAAGGTATTTAGCACAACATCCAATCAAGCGAATAAAACCATATTTGAGAAAAGCTGGTTTGAAAATCACTGATGTTCATATTAAAAATTGGTTTGAAGAAGTCAAGGAGTGTTTGAAACAGAAAAACATAGATATCAACAAATTTGACAACCCTGACAGAATTGTGAACTTTGACGAATCAGGATTTGAAGTTGTTCAACAAAAATTTGAAGCTCTATGCACTACTGGGTCAAAAAACATGTAGAATATTGCAAATAATTGCAAAAAGAAGACGTATACAGCTCTTTTTGGCTGCACAGCTTTAGGAAAAATGGTTCCACCAATGATTATTCACCCTGGACATTGAATTACAAGAGATATAGCCATGTATACACTATCAGAATGAGTTGTAGGAATTTTCTATATGAGATGGCAAACCTCTAAAATATATTTATAATATATTATATTTAAATATATCTATAATCATTTATATATAATAATGAGTATTTGTCAAACAACCTTGTCAAATGGCTTGAAAAAAACAATGACCATAATCATATATTTCAATGACCATGATCATAATTTTTGTTGATGGTTGCAAAAGCATTGAGACTGCTGAATATTGCAAGCTAAACGATTTATTTTTCATCTTTCTCCTATCAAACGCAACCAGAATCCTTCAGCTACTGGATTGTACATCTTTTAGAGTAAGAATACAAAATTTTGGACAACCTCTGAAATTGATTGTTTATAGTTTGACAAATTTATCAACATGTATCAAAAATGGCTTTGAAAAACAAAAGGTTTTGGATGCTTTTCCACTGCAGTTTATTGGAAATGGACCCATTTCCGATAAACTACAGTAGCTAGAGTAAGAATTAATCTCAAAGCAATTGGTGAGTTTTGAAGAGAATCACTAGTAAGATTTTTAGTATATTTATCACAAATACACATAGATGAGTTTTTGACTTTATGAAAATCCTGGAAATTTTTTTCTATGAAAATAATAGAAAATTATTTTGATAAATATTCTGGTAAATTCTGGAATGTTGGTAAAGAGATAAATAAAGTAACTAAAAACTACTGACTCGGTGTAGTTAAGGTACTTTTAAAATAATAGAGCGTCTGTATGATATTTTGTTGACTGCAACATTTCTCCATTAAATGGTCTGGTCTGTGAATTACGAAAAGACGAAAAAACTTAAAATGATAAATTTTGCGGTATCATAAAATATAAATGTTTGTAGTGAAAAAATCCAGACTGATGATTCTTTGTTTTAAAAAAAAGTCATCTTAAAATCACAATCGCTTGTCCAAATTTAAATAAGATTTTATATTAACAAGTTTTTTAGGTGAAATGAACATTATAATTTAACAATATGATCTGTTCTGATCGTTTATTGGCAATTTTCCATAATTATAAGCTCTTTCTTGGTCGGAATTCCAGTATTTTTTGTGAAAATTGATAGAAATATTGTGTTTTAACAACTATATATAGTAAATATACGCCAGAACCGATTAGAAATAGGATCAGTAGTAAATTAAGAAACTTTTTCAAAAGATTTTAACTAAATTCATATTAATGCCGATGAGCGGAATTGATCTAAAGACTCCAAATTAGTGCTCTTTAGATACACTATTACGGGTAGTAAAAAGGTTTTGAAAATTAAATATAAAAAAGAAAAGTTTCTTTAAATATTATAAAAACCTTGAAAAAAAAAATTTATAGCATTTAAAGATCTTGTTTGGACATAATATGCTGACAAAATCATGGTAATTCCAAATAAAAGTATTAGAATATTTTGTAAATCGCCTTAACTACACCGTTGAACATTTAATGATTTTGTCTCAGAAACATCTCTTAACTTCCATTTGATAGTTTTTTGTTTTTGATCATATTAACTGACGAAAAGAACTTTTGCAAACTTTTAAAACGGTATTTAGATTATTTAACTTTTTACAAAAAGGAATTTCTAATATTGGAATAAGCTAATAATAAGAGTGAATTAAAAAGAAAGTAAAAAAAAGAAAAATATTTGTTATGAAAATTGATCTTGTGAAAAACTCATCTATGAATACAAGACTTTTTAATTTTTGGAAGTCTGTATAAGAAAAAAAGTGAGGAACTGTATACTCAGCCATCCTCAAAAAAAGACAAAAACAAGAAAAGACAGAAAAAAGGAAAAATAAACTGAAAGTCAAAAAAGAAGAAGAAATTTGCTAAAAAAAATTTTTTTACTGTTTAACAGTTTAAAAACTGAAATAAAGAATAAAATATTTGTCTAAACTTTTTGACCCATATTTGTGTCTATTCTGATTCATATTTGTAGTCGCATCACATCCATTCTGATCCATAATTATTCATGATCCATATTTGTACTTTTTATAACATTTTGCAAAAAGTTTTTTTTTTACTTATTTGTGTTAAAAAAATGTTTACACATTTAAAGTAAACATTTCAATATACAGATATTGTTATTACAATAAAATATATCCTTTCTAAATGTCCTTAACAAAAAAAAGAAGCATAAATAATATACTATATTTTAGTAAAACCAACAATAAAAAAAGAAAGATAAAAAAAATTGCAGCCTTCATCATTTGCCCCCAAATTTTATATCTTTTGTAACTTACAATAAAAAAAAAAAATTTGTATCTAACTTACAGCTAACAAAAATTTGAACATGTTGAAATGCTTCCATTGCAAGATTTTTACATACACATTTATAAATGCCAGTGTCTTGAGCATAAACATTATTCAATACCAACATCGATGTATTGCTTGAAAACATTTCTTCAACTCCTTTAACCCATCTGTATTTTATATCATCAGGATTTCCATCACATTTACATGGTAATGAAAAATTTTGACCTTCTTTGAGTGTTATAGTTGATAAACCCAACACTGGAGGCTTTATATCTAAAATGCAAAGTTTATTAATTTTAAACTAAAAGAAAATGGTTTTAATTTTTGTCAATATTATTAATAATATTAATATTAAATATATTTTTACTGCTACACCACTAACATTATATTAAAAATTAAAAATTTATTTTATAAACAATTTATTTAATTAGCAATGCAATTTAAAACATTTAATACATATGCATCCATTTAAATTTATATATAATGAATACTGGAAAGTGAATTTAAGCATGCTGTTTGGTTTTTGTTGTACACACACAATCAGCAACACAACCACACAACAAAAACACCCAACTAACACAAAACAACCACATAATAAACAAAAACCTAACCACACAAGCATTGCTAAACAGAACATCTTTCTAGTTTGAATTATTTGAGTTCAAGTTACTCATATACTAGCATACCTTTAAATTCAGTTTCTTTAAATTCAGACATCTTTACATTGTTTATAAAAAGTATTTTTTTGTTTCATGTAATTAAAAATATAAAAAATGCACAACTATAAACAATGTGTAACTATAGTTTTAAAAAACAATAAAAAAACACTTGCAATAAACAGTCAGCTTTCTTAAACTTGAAGTTTTCATAGTTTCATTATTCGCAACAGTACACTTGTATTCACCACCATTTTCTATTTCAATATTTTCAAAAAGCAACGTTTTTTGTGTATGTCCAAATATTTCTTTGTTATCTTTATACCAAGAATATGTTAAAGAATTAAATAATGTTGAGCCATTAAATGAACATGTTAATATGACAGTAGAACCTCTATTGATATTTCCCTCAGGAATAACTTGAACAAAAGGCGTACTAAAATCTTTAAAAAAATAAAATTTGTTACATTTAAATTTTAAATTATTTTTTGGGTATAGTAATATTACTAATTGCAATTTCAATTTAAAAAACTGGATTTATTAAAGATAGACATGTTTATACATTGAATAAGAGGTTTTGTTTGAGCAGATAGAGGTTCTCTATATCTGCTCAAACAATTTTATTCAAAAAAATTCAAAAACAAAAAGATTGCTTTTACTGTTGTTTTTTATATTTAATTTCAATTTTAAGATTTTTTTGTTTTTTTGTTATTTGAATGAATGAAATAAAAAAAATAAAAAATACTTAACTCCTTAATACTGTTTATGATTTTATTATTTACTTAAAAACTCTTTCAAGGTCATTAAATGCTTAAAACTGCCAACTGTAAAACTTTATTTTTTTAAATTAAGTCAAGGATATGGAAATATTGCCTTCTGTAAAAATCTGAAAGAACATGCTGAATCATTTAACCTGTCTTTATTAATGAAAGAAGCAAAAAGAAAAAAGAAAAAAAGAAAAGAGATTTGAAGCAGATTAAAATTTAGTTTTTTTTTTTACTAAATTCATTTTAGTAATCTTAAAAGATTACTAAAATTGACACAATTTTAAGATTCTTTTAAGATGAAGAAACCTTCAAAAGTGAAAAGATTTAATAACAATGAGCACTGACACAATTTTAGAATTTATGTTTAAGAAACTCTCTTTAATAAAGAATAAAATCAACAAGAATGTTGATAATGCATAATTGCATAACTCAAAGATTCCAAATGATGAACCTTAGAATGCAGATACTATGAATTTATTACATGACCAAAAAAGTAGTACAATTACACCACATCTAGAGTATATCTTGTCTGTTGCTATAGATAGATGAAATAAAAAAATTGATACTCATATTTATTATCTGTATATGTACGCACAAATAAATAAAATACGATTGTTTTAAAAAGTTAAAGCTCAATGCAAATTTGACAACTGCCTTGGCCTTCGGTCAATAAAATTTTTATTTATAATGATGTCTAGTATTATATATCAAGCTAATATTTTAAGAAAAACTTTCTGTTTAATAACAAATATTAGTTTATCATTTTTCCATAAAGATCCACTACTGCATGTAAGATGCAAATAGTTATTTTGCAATTTGTATAGCTTAAAACAGTTTTTTTTAAATATATATACTTTTTTGATGTTAGGCCATAGAGTACTTCTAGATTCATTGGTTTATTTCAATATAAAAAAAGTTATGTAAAAAGGGATTAACTATTTTGTTCTGAAATCTAATTTTTTTAATATTTCACTTTTATTATTATTATTTTTTTGATTTTAAATTGATTTTGAATTTTATGCTAAGGTTTTGAGTTGTTAATGATTTGAAAATGATTTAAAATGCTTGTATGCTTTCAATATATTTGAATTGATTGGTTGGTCCCAAGATTCTTATAAATACAAAAAAAAATCTCTGGGCAAGTTTTGAAAAATCGGATTGGAAGGAAGTATGAACTTCCGATTAAATGCTTGTCCGTGATGCTATGTGATAAGACCATAAGGACTTCTTGGGGCACCTAAATAAAATTTAGAAAAATAAAATAAAATTAGGGCAGATGGGGAGGAAGAAGGGTAGCATTTTACATTTTTAAAATCTGTTTTTGCAACTTGTACAACTAGTTTTAAACTCATAATTTTAACTTATAATAACAAGGTAATTACAAAGTCAAAATAGACTAAGAAAAAAAAGAAAAGAACGCATATAAAAAAAAAATTAAAAAGTACAAAAAATAAAAAATCTAAATCTAGATTTAATAAAAAATAAAAGATCTAAAACATTAATTTTGTGTTTAAAAATGTTAAGCTATCAAAAACTTTTGCAGAATAAAGTAAAAAAAAAAAAAAAGAAACAAATACGAAACTTCTATTAGAAACTCTGTTGTTGCAATATATTTTAAGACATTTTAAATGCTTTTTATTTGATATTTATCTGGCTTTAGACAAAAACCAAGTTATGGTTGGCTAAAAAGAGAAACCATAATTGGGCAAGATGGTAGGTTGATCTCAAGTTTGTGCATGAGAACAATTGGGTCAACAAGGTTGGATGCTTTTGCAAAAGAACATAGCAGTTAGTAAGGTATTATTGTATATTGCAGTCAATAGCATATTATACCCATTCTTCTATTTTTTGTATAATGGGATCAATTTTTAATGCCATCATACATATACTGAAGCCCCTGGCAGCAGGCTTTTTACTATGAAATCTGACATCTTATCTAAACATTTGCAAAATTAAGTTTATTTAAATGTTTCTAATTCTAAACATCCAATAGAAATTGTTTAAAGTATTTTAGATATTTAGTAACTATACTTTATTATACAGTGTAAATAATGTTTAAAGTATTTTAGATATTTAGGAACTATATTTTTATATACATTTAAAAAATACTTTTTCAGATTTTCTAAATAAAACATCCAAATTGTATCAAATGTTAATTTTTATCATGAAAAGCAAAGAAGACGTTATTTATATAATGCACATACAAGATTTTTTGGTAAACTGTTTGATAAGTTTAAAATACAATTAAAAAAGTAATACTTGGTACTGTTCAGATTACAATGGAGTTTATAGAGTTTCTATAGTTTAAAGGTATGAACATAATTACCTAAAACAGAATTTAAAATAAAAACATTTGATAGATTAGTGTCTACTTTTCCATCAAGGATTTTGTAACAAATAGGATTTTTTTTTTTCCATCAAGGATTTTGTAAAACTAAATCAATAAATGTTCAATGATATCCTAATGAATGAATCTTGAATATAGCTAGACGCTTATTTGAATTTAGCTAGACGCATACTGACCACAGCCAGCAATTCTCTTTTTGCTGGCTGTGACTACACCCGGCAATTCCCTTATAGTAACATTGTACTTTTTCAATTTTTTTAATTTGGCAAATAGTGTAAAGTGGAGGAACAATACTCTAGCATACGTCATACATATTTAAAGTAAGCTTTAACCATCAGTGATTTTTCTTTGCAAATAAAAATAAGCTGATATGATTAAAAGAAATGATGTGATAAAATGATATGATGATAAGATGCAAATGAGAATAAGATGGATATGCTGATCAAATATTAAGTTCCTATAAATGGTAACTTCAAGATCTTGGAAACTCTTAACATTAGAAAGTTCATCATTACTTATACAAAAAACACAATGAGTTATGTTTTGATTCTGATTAACAGTTGTAAAAACAAAGCATTTTGAAGTTGCTATTTAAAGTTCCCTCCATTTATAGAAAACAATTAACATCTGTAAATTTTACCTACAATGAAAGTTAAGGAGATGAAGGTTAGACTGAAAACCGCATTTATCATAGGTGAATATAACTTAAAATCATCAGCAAAAAGTTAAAATTTAACATTAGGTTCTTTAATAATGTGAATCACATCATTGATAAACAGTAAGAACCAAGTACATCCTTGAACACTCCCTTGTGGAATACCGCTTGTTACAAATACGGTGTGGGAAGTAACATTGTTTAAACTGACCACTTGTGATCTTGTTTGAATATCAATTAGCCAATCCAGAAGATTGGCAATTATTCCGTAGGTAATTTCATTTTTAACTTGAGATGTGAAACAAAATCAAATGCTTTTTTAAAATCATAATAAAAAATGTTAGTAGAAATGTGGTGCTGCAGATTTAAGGTTCAACTAAAAATGAAAACTTAGAATATTAGTACAAGTACTGCACTTACATATACAACTATGTTGCTCTTTTGTGATTAGGTTATTTAGTGAAAGATAATAATAGGTTTATAATTACTTGGGTCAGTTGTTGGTCCCATTTCATGAATTGGAATGAATACTGCTACTTTTTAGTTTATTGGAAAAGCACCATTGTTAAATAAGCTATCAAACAAATGGCTGAAGGAAGCTGCTAAACTATTAATGCATTGCTATAGTAGAACATTTGGAATGCCATCCAGACCAGTAGATGTGGTTAGTTTAAACACAGCTTTTTCTACAATAGAAGTAAGGAAGTTAATGGACAACAAACAAGTTGAATGTGCATGTACACAATCTATAAACTTAGGTGAAAAGAAAAGCCATTATTGTTTGCAAAAACGCTTGCAAAAAGTAATTAAAAATACAAGATATTTCTTTCTTTGTTTTTGAAAATGTATTATCAGAACAACGAATCTCACTGAGTTTTAAAACGAATCAACAAATCAATGAATCTTAACACTTGTTTTAAGTTTGTCATTTAAAAAATTAAAGAAACTATTAAGGTTAGTAGTTCATCTTAAGTTCATTTTGTCGTTTATCAATTTTTTAAACATAAGGAAGATAGTGTATTTATATAAAAAAGTATATAATAAAAAAAATTGTTTACATTAAATAATTAACATTTGTTATAAACTTTTTTAAACATTTTAAGACATTTTTTTTATCAATGTCAAAAAGAATATGAAGAGAAACTTTTTGAAATTTAAAAAATTGTTATTAAGAAATTTTTACTTAAGTTCATTCATTTTTAAAAACCATTAACTTTCAATTTCCAACAAGCAAAAGTTTACTTTATTCTGAATGAATATTTTAAAATAGTTCTATTTTTCAAAATAACAAACTTTTCATCTATCATTACATACGATTGCGTAATCACTAAAATATATCATAAACTCTGCATACTTCAGAAGTGAAACTCAAAATAAAACATAACAAATAAATATGCAGTATTAAAAATATTTTTTTTAAAAAGTCAAAAATATTTTTTGTTGAAAAATGGTTTTTTTAATAGATTATTTGAAAAAGGAATAGTTTGAAAAGTTTAAAAAAGGAATAGTTTGAAAAAGTTTGAAAAAGGAACAGTTTGAAAAAGAATTGTTTGAAAAAAGAATAGGTCTATTTGAATATCCATTGTTATTAAATAGAGTTGCAATACGTTTTATTCACTTTTGAACTTTAAAATTAAAAAATTTGTTTAGTTAGTAACCAAATGACAGTTTTAAACATTTTAAACAGGCATGTAGTTATATTTTAATCCATTTTATTGTTCTGAACTAAAATAAACAAAAAAAATTGGTTATTTCTTTTTGCATTTTAAATCAAAACTTTTTTTGTATTTTTAATAAAAAAAAAGAAAAAGTAATCTTTTTATAACTATATTCTTCCAAAATTTTTTTGACAATGAAAGTAAATGTAAATTTAAAAAATTTAAAATCAAAAATGAATACTAACAATAAAATTGAATAACTTCAGTTACTTTCTTTGTTAATCCTCCAATACTTGCATGACAAGTAATAGCCTCCATTTCAACCATTTTATGACTACTCAAATTAAGTTGTGGACCTTCTGCTAGAAGAAGACCTTGTTCAAGCCAAACTATCACAGCTTGTGGATACGATATAACAGAGCATTTTAATAACACTAAATACTGATCATCAGTTAAAATTTCTTCTTTGAAAATAGTTGGTTCTTCTAAGTCTAATTGAAAATAGTTATTAGTTAACTTGAATTTACACTCATAATTCACTAAACATTAACAATATTTAATCAAAAAAAGATAATAAACAAAAACTTAATACATATATATATATATATATATATATATATATATATATATATATATATATATATATATATATATATATATATATATATATATATATATATATACATACACACATTAATATATATATATATATATATATATATATATATATATATATATATATATATATATATATATATATATAAATATATAATAGGGTGATTGTCGTTGTAATAGAAAAAAAATTAATATCACAAAAAACATTCTCCTCAAAATTGTCTGTGTTCATTTATCATCTAGGATCATATGAACCAATTTGGGCATTAATTTATGTAGTTCTTGTTACATGGGAGAGAAGAAGAATACTAACTCAAAGAATTGATAATGCAGAAAGAAAGTTAAAAAAAACTTTATAATGATTATCTGAATTTAACAGAATTTAATAGCGAGATAAAAGAGAAGCGCAGAAATAAATTCAAGAAAGTAAAAAAGAAATGAAGTGTCAAAGCAGTAAAATTAAATTGATGGAAAAAACTGAACTTGTTCCTTCTTCATCAGCAGTAGAAATTATGAGTGCAAGTAGCTCTAGTTCCTTGGATGATGATGAATATCAAATTCCTTCCACTTTCAGCAAAAGTGGTTCAACAAATAAGAAGATAAAATTTCTATCAGATAATGTTGTACCATCTCTTGATCAATTTAATATTTCTAATTACTGTGCACTCTTTGTGTTTGGAACAGTGACTCAGGCTCTTGGTCACTCAGTAAAAGATTTATCATTGTTAAAAGCACAACCTACAGAAGAACTTTTTCATGAAGTGAAACTACTGCTGACAAGGCCAATTTCTCTTCTAATGATTCAGATTCTTTGCATTGGGGTTGAAAGTTCTTACCTAATATCACTGGTGGTCAACAAAAAGTGAATAGAAATGCTATCCTTGTGACTAGTGTGAAGATGGAAAAATTGCTAAGTGTTCCAAAGATTGGTTGAGGTACAGGTGAGAAACAGGCTGATGCATGTATGAAATCTCTTTAAGATTGGAAACTGAATGAACATGTTCATGGACTGGTTTTTGACATTACTTCATCCAAAGTCCTGGGTTAAACATTGGCTTGTTATCACTGCAAGGAAAAAAAAAGTAATAACAGAAATAAGTCATTTTGTGGCATTTATATATGGCCATTTTTGGAATGAAGCCTTTAGCTGAATGAGCACCATTTAATGATGCCAAGTTTCTTTAACAGATTCAAGAATATCCACATTGTACATTTGCAACTGCTGTAACTTTTAGCTATAAAAGTTACAGCAGTTGCAAATGTACAATTTATCATAACCACCTCTGGTATTTTTCTGAACATTCAGTAGAATTGGCTCTTTTTGATTCTCATGTCAACAACAACATCAAAAAAGAAATGGCAAACTACTTGAAAGAGCACCCAAGGCTGAAATCTCTCAAAAAACTTGATGCTGCCACATTTGATTGTCATAATCCATTAGCTTCTCTCATCACGCAATGCACTGCAGAACTTTTTGATCTAAATTTGAAGAATTTCAAAGAAAAAGATTTATTTTAATGAAAGAATCTTTAGAGTAAGATATAGATTTAACATATATTGAAATGAAGCACAAGGTTTGCCAAATGAAGGTCATCATTGCGCAAAACAAGGCATAGCACTTAAAACATCTTTTAACTAAAGCATTACAAAAGATGAAAACCAAAAGCAGTTTTTTCTTTGATTGGTTGATCGAAAGGAATTTCCAGTTGGATCAAAGTCTACCTCAACGAAGATGACTGCTGGTGATAGATAATTGCTTAGTGCATAGTAGTAGTAGTATGTAGTATACAAAAAATACTAAATTTTTACCAGTATTGTTTTTAAACAATAAAAATCGACAGTCCACATAATATTAATTAAATAAAAAAATTAATATAAAATAGAACAAGGGCAAGCTTGAGGAAAACCAAAGTTTTAAACCTAAAAAACTTTGCATCACTCTAATATATATATATATACGCCTAATGAATTTATGTAATTAATTATTGTTTCCAAACTTATGTAAACAAATCTATTCAAAAATAATATAAATATAATAAATGGTAGATATTACAACATATTAAAAATATAAATTCATTTTTCAAATTACAACATCTAAAATATTATCTAAAATGACATTTCTGATACAAATGTCTGATCCTAATCTATGCGAATATGGATTGTTTAAAATTTTTAATAAAATTTTTTTAAAAGATAATATTTTTATTTTACAAAAAATATACATTTTGTGTTTAAACAGTTATTTGAGAAATATATCTAGTTATTAGGAAAAAATGGGCCATCAAGACAAGTAGTTATTAGCAAAAAATGGGCCATCAAGACAAGTAGTTATTAGCAAAAAATGGGCCATCGAGACAAGTAGTTTTTTTAATTCACAGCAAACATCCGCTTAAAAAAATTTTTTTTTCCTAATGCACTTCCAAAATGTCATGCCTGGTTTTCTCAAAGTACTGTTGCGGGAAGTAACTCCTTTTAACTACTCCAGGTCAGGTCAGGATAATCAAGATCAATCTTGCTACTGGTATCACATAACCCAGTACCACCTGCCACAAGCCCTGCTGCCTTGCAGAGTGTGCTCTTCTTAGGCAAAGGCTAGGAGAAATAAACTCAGACTAAAAATTCCCCTGCCTTGGGGCTCTTGGTTGAGTAAAGGCTAGAGATGGTGTCTCGATAAAAACACTCATCTTGGGCAGATGTTAACTGCATCCAGCTAAACATCCCCTGCCTTGGGGCTCTTGGTTGAGTAAAGGCTAGAGATGGTGTCTCGATAAAAAAACTCATCTTGGGCAGATGTTAACTGCATCCAGCTACTGTCTTGTAGAAGGCCTCCTAGGCAAAGACTTTAGGGGTAAGCAGAAAAATTCTGCTAACCAGCCTCGAACCCCTTCTTCATCTATTAGGCTAGCATAGATGTAACCTGTGTTACATGGTTTCCTGCCTAGGATGATGAATGCTGGATCTCCTTGACTCTACTCATAGAATTTTGCTTATGCCTCCTTGATAATGGCTATGCAACTCTTCCTGTTATCTCCAAATGAGGGTACAGCTCTAAAACTCAGTTTAATGGTTCTGAGGCCGGCTGGTAGTAAGGTTTCCCGAACTCTGTGGTAGCTCTCAGAGAGGCTGATTCCATCAACAGCTGCAAAATATCAGAGTATTAACAGTGCCATGTTGTGTATGGGTGGTGTCCCTGTTAATGCTTTTGGTGTGCATTGTCAAGGCCACATAAGGAGCCCTATGTCACGGCTTAGGGTTAATTAACAGGACTGAGACAACTGCATAGCTCATTGATTAGGAGGCTGTGCTCTATCTATGAATGAGTCAAGTTCTCATTAAACCCAAATCATGACCAAAGTAACCAAAAATTTAAAACCTAAAAAACCATCCCCACCACCTAAATATTTTAATATATCTTTTACAAATATTCGCGGTCTACGAAGCAACTTTCCATCAGTTGAGTCTTACCTCCTGCAAAATTCACCAGACTTGCTTGCACTCAGTGAAACAAATTTAAATTCTGCAATTCCTTCTTCAGATGTCAGTATTGATGGGTACTATCCTTTGATTCGTAAAGACTCAAATAGTCACATGCTAGGTTTAGGGGTAAACATACGCATTAATTCCCCTATTTGTCGTGAAATCAGGTTCGAATCCTTTGACCATTCCTTTATGTGCTTTCGCCTAGCACCTCTTCACTCTATCGCCTTTCTCTTTGTTCTTTATCGTTCTCCTTCTTCCCATGATTGCACTCTTTTAGATGTTATCTCTGATCAAATTGACCATGCCATCTCTTTACCCCTCTACCAATATTGTTGTTGTTGGTCATTTTAATGCCCATCACACTGAATGGCTTGGCTCTAACACCACTGATCCTGCTGGAACTAAAACCTTTAACTTCTGTGTTTCTTAATCTCTTACTCAGATAGTTAATTTTGTGACTCGTTTTCCTGACAACCCTAATCAATTACCTTCACTCCTTGACTTATGTCTTGTCTCTGACCCTAGCTTATGTTCAGTTTCTCCCTTTTCTCCCTTGCAATGATCTCTATAAATATTTCTTCTCGTACTTCTTTTTTGGGCTCACCTTATCATCGCACCACCTACTACTACCCTAAAGCTGACTGGGATTCCTTTCGTGATTTTCTTCGTGATGGTCCTTGGGCTGATATTTTTTCTCTCTCAGCTGACAAATGCGCCTCCTACGTAACCTCCTGGATTCAGGCTGGAATGGAAGCTTTTATTCCTTCGCGTTGGTTTCAAGTCAAGCCTCATTCTACTCCATGGTTCTCTCCTTCTTGTGCGGCTGCTATATCCAATCGTAATCATTTTTCTCATCTTTTTCAAAAGAACAACTCTCTTGAGAACAAACGGCTATTTATTATTGCAAGAAATCGATGTAAAAAGGTGCTTTCTGATGCTAAACTCCATTATTCTCAGTTCACTAAATCTCGCATCTTATCACAAAAGTTACGCTCTAAAGACTTTTGGAAAATCTTCAACAGCATTATTAACAAGGGTAGATCTAACATTCCATCTCTCATTCATGGGACTGATCTTATTACCTCTCCCAAGGATAAGGCAGAACTATTCGCAAAGAACTTTTCATCTAATTCGACTCTTAAATCTTATGGACATTCGCTTCCTTCCATTCCAGTCAAACAGGTTGACCCATTGTTAGACATTCAAATCAATCCGGCTTCTGTTGCTAAAGTCATATCTCAATTAAACTCGTCTACAGCTTGTGGTACAGACAACATTCCTGTCACAGTCTTGCAGAATTGTTCTCCAGAACTTTCTTCAATTCTCTCTAAACTATTTAACAAGTGTTTGACTGAGTCTTGTTTTCCTGCTTGTTGGAAAATGGCATCTGTGGTTCCAATCTTCAAAAACTCTGGAGAAAATTCTGACCCCTCCAAATATCATCCGATCAGTCATCTTTCTGTTATTAGCAAGGTCTTTGAGTCTTTGATCAATAAATTCCTCACATCTCATCTTGAGTCAAATAAACTACTGTCAGACAATCAATACGGTTTTCGATCCTATTGCTCTACGGCCGACTTGCTAACTGATGTAACCGAAAGATTTTATAGAGCATTAGATGGAGGCGGTGAGGCTAGGGCTATTGCCCTCGACATATCTAAAGCTTTCAACAAAGTTTGGCATGCTGGTCTTCTCCATAAGCTTGGAGAAGACCAGCATATGGTATGGTACTCTCCATATGGTATTTCTGGGAAAGTTTTTGAGATTATCAAATCATTTCTTTCTAACCAATTTCTTAAAGTCATCCTTGAAGGCCAACACTCTTCTTTATTTCCAGTAACTTCTGGAGTTCCCCAAGGTTCCATCCTGGGGCTTGTTTTGTTTCTTATCTACATAAACAATCTTCCTCTTGTAGCTCTTTTTGCTGATGACTCGACTTTATACTCCTGTCTTGACAAAAAGTCTTCTCTTTTTTATCGCCTAGAACAAGCAGCTGATCTTGAATCCAATCTCACTTCAGTAATAGATTGGGGTTCACAGTGGCTTGTGAATTTCAACTCTAAAAAAGCCCAGTTGCTTACTGCAAACAACTACCTAATATGGTCAACATTCCTATATTAATGAATGGCAATCCTCTTACTAAGTCCTCCTCTTTACATCTTCTTGGACTATCGCTTACTACTGACCTTTCATGGAAACCATATATACAATTGATTGCTAAATTAGCTTCTGCTAAGGTTGCTTCTCTTTATCGTGCTCACCATTTCCTTACTTCTGATTCCATTCTCTACCTCTACAAATCTCTTATTCGTCCCTGTATGGAATACTGTTGTCATATTTGGGCTGGTTCTTCTAACCATTCACTTTCTCTTCTTGACAAGGTCCAAAAACGCATTGTAAATGTTGTTGGACCTGGACTATCTGCTAAGCTTGAACCTCTTTCCCATCGTCGTAAAGTTGAATCTCTTTCTCTTTTCTACAAATACTATCATGGTCACTGCTCAAAGGAGTTATCATCTCTAGTTCCATCAACTAAAATTCTTTCTTGTTTTACTCGTCATTCAGCAAAGTCTCATTTGTTTACTGTATCTGTCCCTGCATGCTCTAAAAACTTTTATTTATCTAGTTTTTTTCCCCGCACTTCAATCCTTTGGAACTCTCTCCCATCTTCATGTTTTCCTGACTCATACAACCTTCAACTTTTCAAGTCTTCTGTCAACCATTTCCTTGCTCTATAACTCTGTTCTTTTTTTTTCCTAGTAACTCCCAACTTAATAGTGGTTGCTTGCAGCCTTGCTGGGAGTGAATGCAAATTATAAAAAAAAAATAATAATAACGCTTTTTTTAAAATAACAAAAAATTTAAAATAGCAAAATCACAGCACGAAACACTTAGACAAAAATATAGTTAAAATTAAATTTGTATTATTTAGAATAATAGCAAAATAAAATATAACTTGTATTATTTATAATAACCACAAAATAAAATACAACATGTTACTATTGAAATTATGGAAATGCAATTTTCTGATATTTCTGAAAATCCAAAAAATCATTATTACTCTTACAAAATAATCAAATCATTGTTGTTCATTCTGACCAATCAAATCATTATAACTCTTATTTAGCCATTAAATTCTTTTTATGCCTTAATAAAATAATTTAACTTATCAGTTGCTTCATTTTTATTCTTTTACTGCCTTATATTTTAACTTACTCACCATCAACTAAATATACTAATAAAGACAGTCTTTATATACCTGTTTAAAAATAATAGATATTAAAAGATTTATAAAAAAACATTATACAAAAAAATGTAACCATACATGTCACCATCAGCAAAACAGCATTTGATATTTTTGTTCCTGCCAGGTTATTAGCATGACAAGTGTATACTCCATGGTCACTTCTTTTAACCCCATAAAAAACAATTGTGGTGGAATAACCATCAATAGGCAAATTGTCCTTGTACCATGTATACTTAATAGGTTGTGATCCATTAACTGAACAGTTTAATACAGCTGAGCGGTTCTCTTCAACACTTAAGGAAGGAGTGAGAGACAAACGTGGTTGATCGATATCTATTGTTGTAATGAAACAATACTATTATTTTATAATTTTAAATTAAAAGATTTAAAAATTTTGATAAACAAAGCTCAAAACATAAAAAAAAAATCCTAATAATTTTAAAGTAAATATTTCAATATTTATTTTGTATATAAGTATTTTTATTGTACCTACATAAATAAAATAAAATAACTCTTTTTCCTGCTCTAGAGCAGTTTTTAAAAAGTAATTTAAACTCTAACAATTCAAAATTCAAAACTCCATTAAAACTAACTGCAGAGAAAATAAGCATTTTTGTCAAGTATTTTTACACTGAACTAGTTTTTGTCAAGTGTTTTTACACTGAATTTTAAGTCTGATTTGAAATACGTAAAGGTGTATTAAAAGACTTTATTATCCACCCAAGTCATTTGGCTCAACAGCATGGGTACTTCATTTTAAATTTAAACCTACATGAAACAAACTTAAACATGTAAAGAATACTCAACATTGAAAGCAATTTTGAGAGAATACTCAACATTGAAAGCAATTTTGTAGTTAGTTTTAATGGAAGAAGAGTTTAATTTTGCATTAATTTTTACAAACTGCTCTAGAGTTTTTTCTTTATTGCACATGTAATAAATGTCCCTAAATAAAAAAAAAAAATAATAAACTCAGAGTAACATTTAGTGTTAAGACCTTTTTGAATTTAAATCTGCTGTTTTATTTTTCAAACAACAACAAAATATATTTTTTTTATTACAACCAATATATCAAATATATATATAAATATATTATATATATATATATATATATATATATATATATATATATATATATATATATATATATATATAACAATATTAGTTATACTAAAATTAATGATTGTAATAATAATGTAATTAGGAAATAATTGATAACGATGGTGTCACTTAGAAATCTGATTAAACTCCAAACAGAAGTATAAAAACAATAATAATAACTACAATGACAATACTGTGATAAGAAAGATTATTTAGAGATATATAGATATATAAAGGTTATTTAGAGATATATAGATATATAAAGGTTACTTAGAGATATATAGATATATAAAGGTTATTTAGAGGTATATAGATATATAAAGGTTATTTAGAGATATATAGATATATAAAGGTTATTTAGAGATATAAGATATATAAAGGTTATTTAAAGATATATAGATATATATCCTAACTGCTGAGTTAGGTGAGCATGATGATGTCATACTGACCTAAGGTAAAATAGCCTGCTGCTAGGGGCTTCAGTACATACATCAACTGACAAATAGCCTGACTCGCAGTGGAGTGCTGCTACATCGACTGAGGGTATGGTATGGGTCAGCAACATTTTCATTCATTATTTTTCGTTTTCTTTCATCGTTTTCTAAAAACGCTCACTTAATTTAGGCTAGCAAAAAAAGTGAGCAATTGCGCATATGAATATGCTATAGTAGATATATATATAAAGGTTATTTAGAGATATACAGATATAGTTATTTAGAGATATTAGTTTATTTAGAGTAAATAAACTAATAAAAATTACACAAATGTAAAAAGAAATCAAAAGATTGAGATTATGAAAAAAAAAAATTTTTTTTAATTAAAAAACATATATATCATAAGAATGAAAGCTAAAAAACTGATAAAATGTTTTTTAATGTTTTTCTATAACTTTTTTTCTTCTTCTTTTAAAACGTTTTCTCCTATTTTTATTACTTATGCTCTATTCTTAATCTTTTTACTTGTTTTTTTTAAAAAAAAAAAAAAAGATTCATTATTTGCAAAATCATTGCAGCTATTAAAAATATTTTTTTAACAATATCTTGGAAAAGATTTGTTGTGTAAAAATCTGTTTATGGTTGAAAACTGTTTATGATTGAAAATATACCTTCATTATTCTAATAACGATAATAAAAAGAAAACAACCACAAAAACAAATAATAAATTTCTCGAATCAATGTGTTGCATTACAATATATTATATGTTTATTTTCTGTTAGAAATTTTTTTTTTTCATGTTAGCTTGAAAAACAAAAGGGGTATATAAATTTAAATACTTATAAAATTTATTTAATAGCGTACCATTTTTGTTATATAAAAAAGAACTACTTTATGTAGCGCAAGTGATTACCGTATTGATATTTGGACAAATAATATCATAAACATGAAAAACAAAGGTCCAACAAAGCATTGGTTCTGGGGATTTCGCTGATTAGGTTCTAGATATACTGATATATTAGCTTCAGAAACATTTTTTATAGTGTTTCCTAAATCTGGAAATATTTAGGAAATAATGAATGACTGGTAAAAGCAGTACGATCAAATGAAAACTTTAAAATCAAAAAAATGGCTACATGCATTACAAAACTTTAAGATAAATATTTACTGGAAATGATTCAGAACTTCAATTACTTTTTAAACAGCATTAATAATGAATTTAATAAAAATAACAGAGATCTATTACAATAAATAAAAATAACAGAGATCTATTACAATGAATAAAAATAACAAAGATCTATTACAATAAATATTTTCCTAGAGCAAAAGTAGAAGCAGTGGTTCTTTAAAATCAAATTACTCAATAATATTATTATTTGCAATTCTCATTGAGAAGTGTAAGGGATCGTCTATAAAGTACATATGCCAAAAATTTTAAAATTTGACCCCTCCCACCCCCTGTTGCCATGAGTACTTCTAAGTCCTCCCTGCCCCTCCCTCTTAAAAAGTATGTATGTTTTTGAAATACCCCAAGCGGTTAATGCTCTGGACTGTGGCAACAGAGACCGGTGTTTCATTCTCGATTGTCAAGTCATATTGTACTTTTTTTTATTTTAATGACGAATCAAATAAAAATAAACTATACTAGGCAGACGTTTTTTTCAGACACCCCTCTTAAGTAAGCCCATAAAAAAAGAGTGCTACGCAAGATCAGTAATACCAAAAACAAAGTCTAAAATCCATTGCCGAGGATAGGCTACCCGTACCCCTTAATTTGAAATGGAGGAGGGGGAGAAAGGGAGCAGAAAATTATGTGCCCTTTTCTAATTTAAGGAGCTTTTTGTTTTAGCAAAACCTAACAGTAAAATTTGGGACATTTTGAGACCCATATGACACTTTTTTTTGGCAGTGCCATGGCAAATAGCCTCCGACCTATTTGCCATGGCACTGCCAAAACTTGTTTTTTGTCGACTCAAAAAATAGGTTGCCTGAAATACCCCTTACTTAGGGCCAGTATATAAGGGGTGGCATGTCTGCATGGGCACCCGCAGTATTAGGTATATTTAAGTTTGGAGTTTGCATAAACTCTAAACTTAAGTATGCTTAAGTATGCCTATGCCAGGCCTTGAGATGAATAAAAACTGCGCAACGCATAAACACGACGTGATTTTTGACGTCACTAAATTCTTTTTATTTGCTTTTCATATTTATCGACATTAACTGTAGAAATGTTATTATTTAAAAATGTTTTGGAATGTTTCGTTTTTTAAAATGTAAAAACACTAGTTTATTTTCTCGACGTTTGACACGTTTTGTCTATACTAAACGAATAAAAAACATTATAACTAAACATTTAAAAAAGATTATAAAATATGCTAATATTTGATTATTTTTTTTTCTCAAATATATAATTTAAAGTTTTTCAAAAAATTATTTTTTCTTTTTAAAAAGTCAGCGAGTAATAAACTGGAAATTTTAATATTGTACGATTAAAAACTGTGCAATAGCTAATATTTTTACTAGCGATTTTATATAATATTTTTTTATTTTTATTTATTTTCATAAAGTGGTTGATAAGCACGATCACTCGTATTACTAAAAAACTTTAACGAACGTTTTGAATAGATTTTTAATGTTTACAAGGAATTTTTTTTTTGGTAAAATAAAATAAAATAAAATGTTAGAATAAAAATCTTATAGGTATAAAAGACATATTTCAGCGAAAAAATTGTTCTTAAAAATTATTCGAAAAACTATTGACGTTCTATTTTTCAGCAGCTGATCTTAAGCACTTAATTTTTTTCAAGTTACTTTTTACAAAAATTTTAATAGCTGTACTTTTTTTTATTGAATCAAGTAGAATACGTTTTAATATTATTACTTTTATTTTTTTTATTTGCGCTTACCAATTTTAAAAATGTTTCCTCGAAATTACTCTTAAATACTTTAAATACCTCTAACAGTTAATAAATATTTTTAAATCTATAGAATAATTTAAAACCTAACAAACCCCCGTAAAATAATTATTTAAGTTAAATATCTAAAACTAAAAGAAAGTATTTTTGTTCAACTTTATCAACAACTTTGCTATTGCTGAATAATTTTATTAAAAATGTTACCTTAAAAAGATTTAAACTTTTTTTTTTATCAGAATTTTTTCTACTTGTAAATAATGAGCATATTTAATTTTTTTATAAATCAAACTTTTGTATCAACTGCGTGCGGTTTTTAAAATACTTTATTAAATGTTAAAATAATCGTAAATTACTTCATTAAAATTCCGCTCATATCTTTAAATATACTTAAACAAAAAATATCTTTAAATATACTCAAACAAAAAAATTTTTGCTCGACGCAAATAGCCCTAGCTACACGCAAAATCGCTCTTGGACGACGTAAAATTTACATCGCCAAACGCTTTATTGCAAGGCCTGCTATGCCAAATGTGTGAAATTTGTGCAAGCTGTAAAACTTAAGTATACTTATGCCAAATAAGAAGGCCTTGCAAAAAAATAGGGTGGGGGAGGCCTGGAAACAAAAAAGCTCTAAAACGCTTGCTTCTGCCCCTAAAAAAAAAAGAGAGGGGGGGGCGTTTTGAGGCTTTTTTGCTCCAGGCCTCCATCTTCTTTATTTTTTGCAAGGCCTCCTTATTTGGCATAGGTATAAACGTACATAAGTTTTGAGTTGTGAAAAATATGTGAAAGTGTTTTATTTGGAACATCAAAAAATCCTGAGGGCCCTCATGCATGTGTGTACATTGAGGTAAACTTTACACTCTACTCCCTATACCAAACATCTTCTTATGTTGGCAAACTAGGATTTTCAGTCGAAATTTTTACTGCTTGACTAGCTAGTTAATTGTGATAAATTAGAAAATCAATGTATATACTTTTATATTGACCACCCTCCCCCCTCCCCCCATACGCTTTTGTACGCTTTTTGAAGACCTCCTCCTCCCTCTATGAGCTCTGTACTTTATGGACGACCCCTAACTCTATGTTTTCTGCATCTATTCTCCATAATCCACCAAAATTAAATTTTTGCCTGCCAAGTGAATCTTGATCAACTTCTTTTATTCAATTTTTTTTCCTAGTATAGTTAGCCAATAATTACAATTATAGTTAATACATTGTGACTTCTAGTGTCATTCAGTATTCTAAGGATTTTAAAGAAAATATTTATATGAAAATATAATAAAATATAATAATATATTTTTTATAAAAATTGTTATTACTATTGATGAAAATATTGAACTGTCAAAAATATAATTTGTAAGTAATTTTTTGGTAAGACTTAAACACTACTAAACTGCTTGAAATTTTTTTACTTATTCTAAAGTAGATAAAGGAATGGGAAAATCAAAAGGGAGCAAGATTTGGAGGAAAAAAATTATGTTACACTTTCCTAGAGCACCCCAATCTTTTTCCAAGAGAACAACCTTGTTCAAATTTTCATTCTTTACTTTTACAAACTTATGCCACAGTGATAAGTCTTACAACAATAAATACACTTCTTAGGATCTCACACAAATGATGACTTAAAAATATAAGATCACACAAATGATGACTTAAAAATATAAGATCACACAAATGATGACTTAAAAATATAAGATCACACAAATGATTTTGTCCGAATATCAATCCCAGATTTCCAAGTTGTAAAATTTTGTGATCTAGATGATCAAACAGTACTATTAAAATTACTAGTACTATTAGTTTTTTTTTAAAGTTTATAAGCAAGGTATTTTATTTATTTCTCATGTGTTCTAATTAAAGTAATTAGCTTGATACTTTAAAAAAAAAACAAAAACAAAAAAAAATAACAGATAAGTTTAAGAATGTGCTGCAACTCAAATAAGACAACCTATACCTCACTTGCATCTCCATTGAATACTATATAAGTATATAGTTTTACTAGATTAACCTATCATTTAAAATTGTTAACAACAATAGTTGTTAAATATGATTCAAAGATGATTGCTGTCATTTTAATGTACATCAATTGTAAAGACAATAAAAAAATTAATTTTGAATTTATCAAGCACAAAAAATATTTTTGAAAAAAAAACAGCTACCCAAAAATAAATAAATAAAAACAACTCACAAACAACTTTTAATTCATAAAAAGTACTCTTAGTTTCAATTCCATTTGTAACTTGACATTCAAATGATGCGTTGTCAATAGCAACACTTTGAATAACAACCTCATTCATAAAAGAAAACACCTTGTTTTTATTTTTCCATTTAAAAAAAACTGATGGGTAACCAGATGAAACGCAAGCCAATTTCACTGTATCACTTTCATTATAATTTTCTTTCAAAATAGAGTCTCCATTTATTGAAATGACTACAGGATTTGTGAGAACTAAATAAAAACAATTTTGTTTTTTTTTACTTAATAATTTTAAATATATTAATAAAAATTTAAAATAAACTATTGTAAAAAACAGATAATATAACTAATTATATTAAATGTTATTAAAATGAAAAAAATAATCATAATTGATTACCAACAATAAGAACAAAAAGAAATCACTCAATAATTTAAAAATATTCTTTCTCTCTCTATATATATATTTATGTAAATTATTATGTATATTCTTTCTCTATATATATTAATATAAATATAGGTATTATGGTGCCTTAAAACGCTCTTTAAATAGAAAATCACAACTCAGTGTTTTTAATGTGTTGTCGTTAACTTTTGTGCTTATCCTTTTTTAGATTTTATTGCAAAAAAACTACAGTTTTTTTTATCAAAAATAAAAAAAATGAACTTTTATAAGTCTTTTGATATCTTTTTTTACATTTTTTTTTTGGATTCATATAAAATAGCCCTTCATTTGAGTACCAGGTTGATCTGTTTTCAAAGAAATTTTTTAAAAACAATATTAGTAACCCATTGAATACATGCTAAAAAAAAGATAGAAATTTCTATTCAAGGTACGATATGTGATATACCCTTAGTAAGGTCTAGTTTTTTACCTTTTAAGGTAGAAAATTATATCTTTAAGTTTGAAAATTGTATGACAAATCATTGTTATATATAAACATATATATATATATATATATATATATATATATATATATATATATATATATATATATATATATATATATATATATATATATATATCACTTTGTAAGAGTTATCTCATCTGCAAATAATGTTAATTCATATAACGTTAAATATTCAAATATACATTATAAAAGTAAAAAAAATTGAGGTCACCTGTAGCTACAATGTATAAAAGATTGTGTAAAAGATCGATAATAGATTGTGCATTGTCAACTTTTCTATTGTAAAAATAGTTATTTATTAAATTCAAAGCATCTGTAGAGAAACAGTAATGCTTTTTTTTTTAAAAGTATTTAAAATCTATTCAATCAAATAATTTGGAATCAAAAATAATGAAAAAAATTTTGAGTTGAAAGTTTTTTTGAAGTCCATAAATAGTAACAATGTAAAAAGATTTTCAGATTTTTTTTATATTAACTCTTTGATATGAGATCACATGGCGTAACCTTGAAATAAGATCACATCATCAATGGAGTTTCACATGAGTAATTGCATATAAAACTTTGTTATTGTTGAGTAAATCATTTTGTTCAAATAATGTATTCATTTTTTTTTTGACAGTTATTTGTTCAAATACTTTTACTAATAAAGATATTATAGCAATATTATTTCATGAATTTTAACTTTCTGTTTGTAAAACAGCATAATACCAGGGGCGGATCCAGAATTTTTCAGTATTTGAATTTTATAACTTCCAGGTAAGTTCTAAACTCCAAATTTTTGTATTTTTATGCTTTAGTCATTAGGATGATTTGCCAAAAATTGCGATGATTAGAACCTGGACACAAAAAAATGTGGGGAATCGTTTTTTTTTAAATACAAATTCTATTATCCTAAATTAGGTAGTAATATCGTTAAGGTTTTAAATTTTTTTTGAAAAATATTATTTTGTTTAGAAATTTACCCCATTTAAATTTACAACTCCCTCATTTTAAGGAGGCTCTAAACTTTAAACAGCTATAACTTTTGAACAAAGAATAGAGTTATAGAGCAAGGAAACGGTTGACAGAAGACTTAAAAAGTTGTTGATTATTTGAGTCAGGAAAACATGAAGATGCAAGAGAGTTCCAAAGCGTTAAAAAGCGGGGCAAAAAACGAAATGAATAAAACTTTTTAGAGTACGCATTGACAGATACAGTAAAAAAATGAGACTTAGCTGAATGATAAGTCTAACAAGAATAAGTTTTAGTTGATGGAACTAGAGATGATAGCTTCTTTGAGTGGCGAATATGATAGTATTTGTAGAAAAGAGAAAGAGATGGAACTTTATAACGATGGGAAAAAGGCTTAAGCCTAAGATAGAGGGGTTCCAACTATGTTTACAATGCAATTTTAGACATTGTCTAGTAGAGAAAAAGCATCATTAGAAGAACCAGCCTAAATATGACAACAGTATTCCATACAGAGGCCAATAAGAGATTTCTAGATGTAGAGAATGGAGTCAGGAGAGAGAAAATGGCAAGCACGACAAAGAAAAGCAACCTTAGCAGATGCTAATTTAGTAATCAATTGTATATATGATTTCCATGAAAGGTCAGTAAAAACAATAATTCAAGAAGACATAAAGAAGAGAACTCAGTAAAAGGGCCATTCATTAATATAGGAATGATGACACCAATATTGTTGGAGTTAAAATTTATTAGCCACTGTGATTCCATATCTGTTATAGAAAAAGATATCAGATTCAAGATCGAACCTGTTCTAAGCAATCAAAAAGTGAAGAATTTTTGTCAAGACCAGAGTATAAGTTTGAGTTATCAGCAAAAAAAGCTACTTTATATGTATGGTTGTCGGAAAGATCATTAATGTAGATAAGAAATAAAACAGGATAGAACCTTGAGATATCCCGGAAGTTACTAGAATGAAGAAAAAAAAAAGGAGTGTTGGCCTTTGAGGATGACTTTATTAAAGTAGTTAGAAATAAACAATTTGATAATCTAAAAACTTTCCCAGATACACCATATGAAACAAGCATATGTAGAAGACCATCATGCCAAATTTTGTCAAAAACTTTAGATTTGTCAATAGCAATAGCCCTAGCCTCTCCGCCTTCATCGAATGCTCAATAAAACCTTTCACCCACAGCAGTTAGCAAGTCAGCTGTAGAGCTTGAGGATTGAAAACTGTATTGATTGTCTGACAGTAAGTTATTTGACTCAAGATGGGATGTGAGAAATTTTTTTATCAAAAAACTCAAAGAACTTGCTAATAACAGAAAGAAGACTGATCAGACAATAATTGTAGGGGTGAGAATGTTTACCAGAGTTTATGAAAATTGGAACAAAAGATGCCATTTTCCAGCAGGTAGGAAAACAAGACCCAGTCAAGCACTTATTAAAAAGTTTAGAGAGAATTGAGAGTTCTGGAGAACCTTTCGAAGACTTGACAGGAATGTTGTCTGAACCACAAGCCATAAAAGAGTTTAATCGAGATATGACTTAAGCAACGGAAGTTGATATGATTTGAATGTCTAATAATGGGTTAACCTGTTTAATTGGAATGGAAGGAAGAGAATGGCCACAAGATTTGAGAGTCAAATTAGAAGAAAAGTTCTTTGCTAACAGTTCTGCCTTATCTTTGGGAGAGGTAATAAGAATAGTCCCATGAATAAGAGAATGAATGTTACTTTCTGATCTTTCTTTGTTAATGACACTGTTTTTTTTGTATCTAGAGATTTGAGATAAAATATGCGATTTAGTGAACTGAGAATAATGGAACTTAGCATCTGATTACATCTATTTTACAATAATTTCTTGCATTAATAAATAGCTGTTTTATTCTCTAGAGAGTTGATCTTCTTAAAAAGATGAAAAAAAATGATTACAATTAGATATAGCAGCTGCACAAGAGGTTAAAAACCATGGATTAGAATGAGGCTTGACTTAGAACCAACATGAAGGAATAAAAGCTTCCATTCTTGCCTGAATCTATGAGATTACGTAGGAGATGCATTTTTTAGCTGAGAGGGAAAAGACATCAATTCAAGGACCATCACAAAGAAAATCACGAAAAGAATCCAGTCAGCTTTAGGGTAGCAGTAAGTAGTGCGATGATAGGGTGAGTCCAAAAATAAAGTACAAGATTGAAATGGTAAAAAAAAAAATGAGAATGAAAGATTTGAAGAAATCATTCCATGGTCAGAACCACCTAAAGGAAAAAAAGGAGAAACTGAACTCAAGCTAGAATCAGAGACCAGACATGAATCAAGGAGTGAAGATAAATGCTTAGGTTTGTCAAGAAAATAAGTCACAATGTTAAGTATCTGATATAGAATTTAGTGCCAGCAAGGTCAGTGGAGTTAGAGCCAAGCTATTCAGTGTGATAAGCATTAAAGTCACTATAAACAACAATATTGGCAGAGGGGCAAAAAGAGAGGGCATGGTCAATTTGATCAGAAAATCTAATCATATTGATCTAAGAAAATCTAAAAGAGTACAGTCTTAGAAAGAAAGAGAATGATAAAAAACAAAGGTGATAGAGTGAAGAGGTGCAAAGTAGAAATATATAAAAGAAATGGTCAAAGGATTCAAACCTGATTTCACAACAAATAGGTGAATTGATGCGTATGTACACCCCCAAGCCAAGCTTGTGACTATTGGAGTCAAGAACAAAGGTGATAGAGTGAAGAGGTGCAAAGTAGAAATATATAAAGGATTCAAACCTGATTTCACAATTGGAGTCTTTGCAAATCAAAGAATAGTATCCATCAACACTGAGATCTGAAGAAAGAATTGTGGAATTTAAATTCGCCTCACTAAGACCAAGCAAGTCTAGTGAATTTTGCAAGAGGTAAGATTCAACTGATGGAAGGTTGCTTCGCAGACCACAAATATTTGTAAAGAATATATTAAAATGGTTTGGTGGTGGGGATGGTTTTTTTATGTTTAAGATTTTATATATATCATATACATGATATATAAAAATGGACTTAAACACTTTTGTACATACATAGGAACATGTACAATTAGACATGTTATTTATATACATCTATTTAGATATAAATATTTGCGTGTACATGTATTGATATCTAAATAAATGTATATATTTTCATGCATTATTCAAAGGTGTTTTTATGTATTGGTATGAATGTACATATATTTATAACAATGCTGTTTAGATGTTAACTATGTGTGAAATATTTGAGTTTTTTTTTCATTATATTATATACCTAAAAAATTTGATGTTACAAATCAACTACAAATAAAAATTTAGTAATATTAAAAAAATATGAATAATATTAAAAAGCCCCCTCAGATCTATTCTTTTGCCCTGTTTTTGACCTTTAGAACTTTGTCCAGATTTTAAATTTTACTTTTCTAAACCTACAGGACCAACACTTCTATGTTCAAAAGGTTTTACATGAGTGCCACAACATAAAACCTGGCGGTCTTTTGTTCACAGTTCACAGTTAATTAGCTTCACTTATAAATTTCATCAGTGAAAAAATAAAAATTCAAAATACATTCAACTCAACAAAGTATAGACCTTGCATTTTTATACAACTGTTTTTAAATTAGATTTAAATACAATTTTTTACAATCGTAACAACATAACTCAATTTCATACTTTGGTTACTCAATTTTGTTGTCAGCGATGGCAACATTTAAGCCATAAGGTTAACAGTGAACATTAATGTATTAATAATAATAAGAATATAATAGTATATTTAAATATAATTCTAATATAGCAAAAAAATATTTAAAAAAAAACAGCTTTTTTTTAAACTATAGTGTCATCATTTGCCTGAAAAGATTATCATAATTTTTTTTTTTACTAATTAGAAGCATTCATTAGTTTTGTAGAAATAAAATATAAATAAATAGGAAATTTACATGACACAGAGAGATTGACAGCATTAGAGTTTTGAGATCCAACAGAATTAAAAACTTCACAAGAGTACAAGCCACTATCGCTATGATTAACATTATTCAATGAAAAAACATTGCCATTGTGTTTTATATCAATATTATTTTTCTTCCATCTATATGCTAATGGAGAAGTACCATTTGAAAGGCAATACATTGTTATTGAATCTCCTTCTTTGCTTGTGTTGGTAGAAGTAGTGTAGACAGAAGCAGGACCAAGATCTATAAAATTTATTTATGACACTTAAAAATAATTTCTTCAAACTGCAATATGATTAAATATTTAGATAATGAAATGTTTAAGTTAGGCAAGAAGTTAACATTTTTCTTTTTTTTCTAAAAATGGCAAGAAAATGCAACCAAAATGACAATATGTAAAATCTAAAATTAACTTACAGGTTAAATTTTTTTTAACTGATTAAAAAAGAGTAAATGAGTGGGAAAAAAAAAATTAAATAAATTTTTTTATCATATGCAAAAACTTTTTGTAGAAATTGAAAAAAATAGGAGAAATTTAAAATAGTTAAAGAATAAGACTAGCGGTAGAATGTCTTCAACACAATCAAGAGGTTTGAAGTTGAAATCAACCCTACACCTCTAAAAATACCAGATTTAACCTAAATATATTTATAGATATAAGTATATATACAGGTTTATATATATAGTAGTATATATGCAGTTATATGTATAAGTATATATACAAGTTTATATGCATTAGTATATATATATATATATATATATATATATATATATATATATATATATATATATATATATATATATATATATATATATATATATATATGAATGCAGAAGCAGATAAAAGCTCTCATAAAACAATCATGGTGAGCCATGTTTGTTTACTGATGCTCCTCTAAACAGCTTTTTATGAGAGCTTTCGTTTTTGGGCAAACTATCTGTTTATTTATTAAAATAAATTGCTTATTAGATAGTAAAATTAATTTTACTCTTGTTACAAGCATTTTCTTTTAACATTGTTACCAGAATATATACATAACAAGCGTCATTTATTGCTCAGCGAAAAAAAGTTCTTAGACAAGCGTTTTCTTAAGGTTTTCACATTATCTATCCATTTATTCATTAGAATTTTACTAAAAATAAAAATCACATTTTTTAATAAAAAAATCAATATGTAACATATTTTTGAAAAAATTATACTATTGCGGGATATATTTACTCAGGCCTCAGCAAAAAGCGAGAGCCTGAGTATATATATAAATTTACATATATACTTACCAAGGCCTGAGTATATATATAAGTTTACATATATACTTGTTTACTGCGTGTTTAGATAAAAAAAAACTTTTTGTATTTATGGTTTTGTATATTGCATATGTAATAAAATATTTTTTGAATATATGTAGAGAAAAATTCATAAAGAAAAAACTCTACTTTCTTTATTTTACTTACAATTGACAACAATTTTTACATCTTGAAATGTTTCTGTCACAATATTTCTGCATACACATTTATAAATGCCAGAATCACCAGTCTGAACATCTTTCAGCACTAATGAAGATGTGTTGCTAACGATATTTTCTTCTACCCCTTTAACCCATCTATATTCAATATCACTTGGATTTCCAAAACATCTACAAGGAAGTGAGAAACTCTCGGTCTTATTTAGAACTACCTTTGATACTCCTATGTCAGGAGTGTTGAGATCTAAAAATCAATTTTAAAGATATTATAGTATGTGCATATATATATATTTATGTATATAATATATAACCCTAGTAATTAAAAAAAATGAGGTCTTCAAAACAAACTTGATACAAAGGTCTTACCATAAAACATAGAAATGATGTCGGCAATTTTTTGCCAACCTCAAACACTTCAAGGTTGGCAGTCAGGTATGGCCAACCCTAATTCTGAAGACTGAATATACATATACATACATACATACATAAATACATACATACATACATACATACATACATACATACATACATACATACATACATACATACATACATACATACATACATACATACATACATATTAGTTATTTCTTGTACATATGTATTTATGTACATGTATATGTATATTAGATCTATTGAGTTATTTTAATGGAAAAAATAAATTCAAACAAAAACCAAGATATCATTAGTTATTTATTTATTTATTTTTATTTGCATTCACTCCCAACAAGGCTGCAAGCAACCACTATTAAGTTGGGAGTTACTAGGAAAAAAAAGAACAGAGTTATAGAGCAAAGAAACGGTTGACAGAAGACTTGAAAAGTTGAAGGTTGTATGAGTCAGGAAAACATGAAGATGGGAGAGAGTTCCAAAGGATTAAAGTGCGTGGAAAAAAAAAACTAGATGAATAAAAGTTTTTAGAGCATACAGGGACAGATACAGTAAACAAATGAGACTTAGCTGAATGACGAGTAAAACGAGAATGAATTTTAGTTGATGGAACTAGAGATGATAACTCCTTTGAGCAGTGACCATGATAGTATTTGTAGAAAAGAGAAAGAGATGCAACTTTACGACGATGGGAAAGAGGTTCAAGCTTAGCAGATAGTCCAGGTCCAACAACATTTACAATGCGTTTTTGGACCTTGACAAGAAGAGAAAGTGAATCGTTAGAAGAACCAGCCCAAATATGACAACAGTATTCCATACAGGGACGAATAAGAGATTTGTAGAGGTAGAGAATGGAATCATAAGTAAGGAAATGGCGAGCACAATAAAGAGAAGCAACCTTAGCAGAAGCTAATTTAGCAATCGATTGTATATATGGTTTCCATGAAAGGTCAGAAGTAAGCGATAATCCAAGAAGACGTAAAGAGGAAGACTCAGTAAGAGGATTGCCATTCATTAATATAGGAATGTTGACCATATTACGGTAGCTGTTTGCAGTAAGCAACTGGGTTTTTTTAGAGTTGAAATTTACAAGTCACTGGGAACCCCAATCTATTACTGAAGTGAGATCGGATTCAAGATCAGCTGCTTGTTCTAGGCGATCGAAAAGAGAAGACTTTTTGTCAAGACAGGAGTATAAAGTTGAGCTATCAGCAAAAAGAGCTACTTTAGATGAAAGGTTGTCAGGAAGATCGTTTATGTAGATAAGAAACAAAACAGGGCCCAGGATGGAACCTTGGGGAACTCCAGAAGTTACTGGAAATAAAGAAGAGTGTTGGCCTTCAAGGATGACTTTAATAAATTGGTTAGAAAGAAATGATTTGATAATCTCAAAAACTTTCCCAGAAATACCATATGAAGCAAGCTTATGGAGAAGACCAGCATGCCAAACTTTGTTGAAAGCTTTAGATATGTCGAGAGCAATAGCCCTAGCCTCACCGCCTCCATCTAATGCACGATAAAATCTTTCAGTTACAGCAGTTAGCAAGTCGGCCGTAGAGCAAGAGGATCGAAAACCGTATTGATTGTCTGACAGTAGTTTATTTGACTCAAGATGAGATGTGAGGAATTTGTTGATCAAAGACTCAAAGATCTTGCTAATAACAAAAAGAAGACTGATCGGATGATAATTGGAGGGGTCAGAATTTTCTCCAGAGTTTTTGAATATTGGAACTACAGATGCCATTTTCCAACAAGCAGGAAAACAAGACTCAGTCAAACACTTGTTAAATAGTTTAGAGAGAATTGAAGAAAGTTCTGGAGAACAATTCTGCAAGACTGTGACAGGAATGTTGTCTGGACCACAAGCTGTAGACGAGTTTAATTGAGATTTAAGTGAGTATTATTACCACACGTTTAAAAATTTTTAGTTTTAATTAATGTTGTGTTAATTTTTTGTTTTCAATTCCAAATTAAAGTCTTGTGTCACCTTTTTTATATAAATGGTAGCTAAATTATATTTTGATAAACGCTTAGAATTATAAGAGCAATTAGTTTTTTTCTTAACTACTAAGAATTTATTATATCATATATGAACTTAAAAAGTGCAATTGGTTTAAATAAGTTTTTTATATTTAACAATAAATGTTATCTGCTATAGTTTCCCAACAAAACGACTGGGACAAATAACATGTTTTTTTTAAAATTACATCTAAAAACAATCTCTAATTTTAAAATGGAATATAGCAATAATAAAACACTAATAATTCTATATTTCAAAATAATGTTTTTTTTCGATTGAAGCATTTATTTTAAGCAAGCATACATTGTTTATATGCATCCCATAAGTAACAATTCAATGTCCCATAAGTAATGACTCATTGTAAATAGATTAATTCATTATTCATTCATTCATTGTAATAACATAATAATAAGATTGTAAGTGTTGTTTATAAAGTAGGGTTAAGTTAAATTTAATAACAAAACAAATAGCAAAAAGTTCTATAGAATTTTTTTTAACTTTTAAAACAAATATCAAAACACATGTTGACATCACTACAAAAAGCATTTTCTATAGAATGGTTAATTTTATTTTTCTAAAGAAATTTTTTGCTATAAATAACATTTTCTATAGAAATTATAAATTTCAAAGTTTTATATAAAGTTTACAATTTCTGATATATATTTGTTAACTATAACTTATTACTGCTACTATTATTACTTATTATATGCTTATTATATGCTTACTAATTATATGAACTAACTTATTGTATGCTTACTGATTATATGAATGGTGTTGTACTCAACGAGTCATCTATCCTTCATCTTCTAAGATTAACTCTTAATTCCAATCTTTCTTGGAAACCATATATCAAGTCCATTGCAAAATTAGCACCTGCTAAGATTGCATCTCTTTATCAGGCTCAACACTTTCTTACTCCAGATTGTATTCTTTACCTCTATAAATCTTAAATCTCTCTTTGTATGGAATACTATTGCCATATCTGGGGCGGATCTTCCAATGATGTCCTTTCTCTTTTAGACAAGGTGTAAAAACACATTGTAAACATAGTTGGACCTGCTCTTGCAGCCAAACTCCAACTATTATCACATCGCCATAATGTTGCTCCTCTTTCTCTTTTCTACAAATACTATAATGGCTGCTCTAATGAGCTAGTGTCTATCTTGCCATCTACTAATATCTCTCAAAAAATCTTATTTATCTAGTTTTTTTCCCTCGAACAAAAGTCTTCGTCTTGCTTTCCTGATTCATATAATTTGCAATCTTTTTAGTTGTCTGTCAATTGTTACCATGCTCTATAAACTTTTCTCTTCCAGTAACTTCCAACTCTTATTGTGGTTGCTTGCAGGCTTGTTGGAAGCAAAGATGTTAAAAAAAAAAAAATTATCAGTTTTTCAATAAATATAACTTATTACCAGTAAATGTGTTTCAATTTAGATTGTAATATTAACTAATGATTAAAACTAATGCTGAAAGACAAAGTAAATAAAAAAGGTTTAATCCTGGTTTAAAAAATAAAGAGTATGTTAAAAAACAACAAGTAAAAAAAAGAGAAAAATATTCAAAGTTACCAAAAGATAAAAAGCAGAAAGCTGATATAGAAGGAAAGATTAAATAAAATGGGAAAAAGCTATATGGAGAAAAGCAACCTAAAATAAAACTAATGAAATTATTTGCTACAAGAAACCATATGGTACACCTTCTTCTCTATCAAGTGCTATAAATGAAGTAAAACTAATGTTACCCAATAGCCCAGTAAAAAGTTTTAAAATTAGCTGCTAAACTACATTGCAACATTGTAGAATGTTCTAATGGTTTTAGAGGAATTACTTTCTTAAATGAAGAAATCAAGAATAAAGTTGTTAATTTTTATGAAAATGATTATGTCAGCCAAGTGTCTCTTGAAAAATAAAAATTGCAATAAAAAATAATTTGAAAATTATATTCAAAAGTTGCACATGTATATGAGCATAGAAAAGACATGCTTTGTCTATGACAGAAAATAAACACATATATATTGATGTAAGTAAATTTGCAAGTTTAAGAACTTTACATGTCCTTCTTAGTTGACAAATGCTAACTAATGTATATCATCAAAATATAATTCTTGCACTGAAAAAACTCTGCGGCTGCAGAGCAAACAAACCTGTATCCTGTATATTCAAGCAAATTCTTAGAGTCTTGCTTTCAATGTCCAGACAAATCAGCATGTTGGTTTAGTGAGCGTCAGCACAAAAAATATGATTTAAAAAAAAAAAAAATTATTGTGGTGTGATAGAGAAACTTTAGAGGCTATTGTTGAGTGAAACAGAAGAAAGATGATAATGGAAGGATGAAGCAAATAGTTCAAAGTGCTTCAGTAGCACACTTGTACAATCATCTGTACTTACTGAAGACATCCTTTTTTACTCAAAGCTTTATTTAAAGCAGCACTAAAGTTTAGATTTGACAGAAATACTACAAAAGAGGTGGAAGCAGTGTTACAAATGGATTACACTGAAAATTATAAACGCTTTTCACAAAATCAAGTTCAAAATGCGTACTAGAATCATCATGATAAAAGACCTTTACCATGATGGCTTAGGAGCAACTTATAAAGAATTGCTTCAAACTAGGTTCTAACCAGAAAAGTTGTTATTAACAATGCTGAAGATTTTTACCACATTGTTTCTAAGACTAGCCCAAAATTTCAAATTTCTTAAATTTTATCTGAACACATTCTTCAAAAAAGTATTGAATTAAATCTACAAGAAATTCTTCAGAAATCAAATAAAGTAAAAGGAATTATTATTATTTATTACTTTTCTTTTTTTGATGATTGCACCTATTCCTCA